ATAGGGGTTGTGGAGGCGTTCGTTTGTTTCTCAATTACTATAGTTCAACTGTTTCGTAGATGAATTACTTCTATATTCAATGAAAAGTACTGAATTGTTGAATTTCTTTTATTCTGTTATTTGCTTCAACATATTACAGAAAGAAGAGTTCGTGTTATGAACTAAGTATAGCTGGATAATGAATGATGCAAAACCAAGAAAAAAGAAAGAAAGAAAAAGAACAAGGAACTTTTATTCTGTTCCAGTATAGGATCTTCAGAAATGCGGACTCACAAACGTACGCAAAATCAATCATATTTTGAAGAAGTTTATTAAAACAATGAAATCACTTATAATCATTTATTGAAGCCTTGGTTATTCGTAAATGTACAACCCCCCCCCTTTATGTGTATAAATACCAATTTGTCGTAACCTTGAATTTACCTTGATGATTCTTAAGTCATTCTATAGCCTAGGATTACACAACAATCTCTTATTCCATTAATTGAGATCATGAGTTAATTGAAGCTAGACCATTATGAAAAACCTAGAAGTACCGGTCGGTCGTTTCATCCTATTGTGAAACTCCTCAGTAGTGCGCATCCACGATCCCGCCTCACGAGACTCCAACCCAGGACCTATCATTTTCGTACTCAAGCGCTTAATCACTAGACCACTGAACCGGTATCCAACAGTGTTAATGTCTAACTTCAACTAACCCACGAAATTGAGCGACATATCTTTTCTAATTCTTTATATACGATATAAAATTGTTTCTTTCCTCTTTTTACCTTTTTTACTTGAACTTTCATTTAATTGACTTTTATTAATTTTCAGATAAAATGTACTGACAAGTATATGTGTGACCAAATTGTTCGAAATGTATAGCGTAAATACATCAGTTTTTTTTCAGATCAATAATCAATGAAAACCAGGAAGCACTCATCAACTATTTCATTCCAGTAAAAACATTTCAGTTGTGTAGATCTATCATTCTACTAGAAGAAATCGAACCTAGGACCTTTGGTCTCATAATACTCACATATCAAATAATTTGGTATGTTAGAGATTTTCGCCTCAAATCACTTCTTCAGCGTATTATACAGAAGACTAAACATATAAATTTAGTTTACTGAAGTCTAAAATGTCATTATCATGTAATGTGATTGAAACTGTTGCACAACATGGTGTATTATCCTATGCTGAAACATTATGACTATCAGGTGTAATATTTATAGATTTACAGATATTCTTATCAACTGACACTATGATGTTCTTGGTCTAATTCATTCATGACAGATACAATGACAGAGACTCAGAGTATTAATCGCAATATATACCACTGACGTTATTTTTTAATAAATAAAATTCAGGTTAGAAATCACATTTATATTGGCCTAGTAGACAATACTATTGTGGTGAACAAGAACATAATTGAGGACAATCGAATGTATTTGAATACAAAATGACAGAATATCTTGGTAAAATCTGAGAATCATATAGTAAATACTTCATTTGCAGAATGTCAAACAATCGTCTCATACTTCATTGTCATTTCGTTTCCATATCAATCATTCTCTGTTCTCGTTCTCTTTCCTTCGATCTCCTTAACCTTCTGCCGCTAGGCACTTCACTTCCCATTCATGATACGCACTATTTATATCTGTTGACATCAGTAGTGCACACCACACTACAATAGTTCTTATCTATATTTTGTTTAGGTATTTTGCAATCAATAATCCTTAAGTATTTAGAGAAATATCTATGCGATCCAGATTAGGAATTAACAAGATGTAGTCTATCCCAACATATACATATATAGTATCCTTGGGAGTGAGCATTGCATTCATGCAGTAAGATTTGTGCTGGTGTTCCAAAATTTACGTAAAAACCAATTGTGTTTCAGCAAAGATCCATATGAGGTTGAATATGTGCAAACAGAAAATAAATCAAGAGTTTTTATCCCGGTAAAACTAAGTCAAGATGATGGTAGATTCCTATTGACAATTTGTTATAGTGTCGGTTTATATGTTAAGCCCATATACCTTTTTCTAGCTTCTGGACAGGCAAATTTATCCGTTGTTGTTGAGCCACGTTTTGATCTTGTTAATTATTCACTTATCAACCCTCACTGCTTTTATATGAGCGTATATTTCTGTACATCTTGTCCTACTCACCAGATGTCTGTAGCTTATTTTTGTGTGACTATAAATATTGATTAACGCTTGGTTAAATGGAGTTGGTTCACATGCCTTCTTCATCATTTCGCTCCGCTCTTTTCTATTTATTTCATCCCTCTGACTTCCTGTCCAGATCTGCGAGTGTACAAAATATATGCATTCAAAAATCCATTCTTTTATTTGACTTATTTAATTACGTTATTCACTAACACGATCTAAGTCGATAATTATCTACAAGGATTGACGATATGTGTATCTCAATAGCAATTAGAGACGATCTCACTGGAGTCAGATCCTAGAGCATTAAAGTGGTGAGCCCGTCGACAACATCGTCCGATTCGAAATTGACAAAATAAAGGGCACTAATATATATGCACTATGTATTGATAAGAATGAAGTTGAAATTTTGCATTTTCACCTAATAAGTGAACAATGATTTTGACTAAAATAAAATCAGAAGGGGTTTGTGGAGATTTTAGAAATTTCATAGATTGAAATCATGAGTCAGTTGAAGCTAGACCACCATGGAAAACCTGGAAGCACTGGACGGCCATTTCGTCCTACTATGAGAAGTCCCATACTAGGACGAAACGGCCGTCCAGGGCTTCCAGGTTTTCCATGGTGGTCTAGCTTCAACTGACTCGTGATTTTAATCTGTAATCCTTGGTTTCAACCTAATCTTAAAATCATAGTCCCTGTTGGTTCAGTGTTTACATTAGAAATGGAAATAACTATTAAATTCTTAGTGATTTTCATTAATTCTTTAGCTATAGCTACTCAGTCCTTCAAACTGCCTTCCATATGACTCATTTAATAAGATATGAGTATACCAAGGTTATAGAATCTTCATAACACAAACATATCTCATTAAATGTAATGATTTATGATCCCGCCCAATGTTTTCCACCCATTTTCCTATTCTATAGTATGTACTACCTTAATTTTTAAGTTTTTTTGTTTTCTTAACTGTTTAACTTGGATGAAAGTTTAATACACCATTTTCTGTCTATAATGATATACTACTGATACTGTTGATTATTTCATTCAAACTATTCTGAGTTTAAATCAGAAATGTTAATACTCTACAATAGACAACTTCATGAAATGGAACTCGACACGCTATTCTCATGATAGAAAAGTTGAACTGATCGAATCGAATGTGAAATAAAAATCAATCAGTCATCAAGTATTTTTCGCGGTATACGGAAATTTTTCAGTATCCGGCTGCACACATCATGAAAGGATATTTCTCTTAGAGACATTTGGAAAAGAAACTGGGCTCGGGATAGTCTTGAAAACTTGATGGTTTAATCGAAGTGCTCAAGAGGTAACTGCATGATGCTGGTAATGAATGTCTTTCTCATGAATATTTTCAGATAAGTAAGCTTTGCTGTCAGAGATGGAAATCCATGGGGGAAGATCATATGGACTATCTTTGATATCAACTTCTTCGAACTCCCTACCCCGTCACGAAAAGTTCGTATCATTGTAAATCCTGGTTGTCTTCGGGAAACAGCTTACTTTTGCCATGATCTTGTACAATGAACAATATGACTTTGCCATCGTATTATAAGTTTGTTGTTTTTAGTCTTATGGCTCTACAACTAACCTGTCTGTTATAATAGGACCCAAAGGAATTAATGTACTAGCAAATATAGGTTGACATGTTTATCATGGCACCCAAGCCCTAACCATCATGTCGGGGTACTAATACGACAATCCGATGAAATAATAATATTATGCATATATTCCTATTGTATAACTATTCAGTAACTAGATTATGTATATCTATCTATATTCCTCTTATTATAAGCTTCATTTTAACCTATGGATTATTATTATTGTACGATTTATTGTTCTTAAGATGTTATGTTCAGTTTATTGATGATTACAGTCTCCCACATTCACAACCACATTTTGGCTTTATTGTGTGTGTGAATGTTATTTCCTATTTCATGCTGTGATGAGGTCTATTTGGTTGGTATATACATCAAGTATGTTTGAAATCAATGATTCGTATAGTGAGAGCTGATATTGATGTTCTGGATTCAACTGAATGAGCTAGGAGAACAATAAGTCAACAAGGACACTAGACTGCTCATACCAGTCGAACGTCGTTGATTTAGCACATTACTAAGATTGAAAAAGTCGTATTTCGATTGGCGAATAAATCACGTGATAACAAGCCGATCTTAAAGTCACAACAGTAATCACTTCATCTTTTAAGACAAAGGCTTCGAAAACTCACCCTTCCCTAATGTACAAATCCTAAGGAAAATGATGATGGAAACAAAGATTATACTATGAATAATAATAATAATAATCTTAACAATAACCATTTAAAATGGGAAAAAAAGCAAAAATTGAATCAAAATAGAATAGAAAAGCAAAGTAGCAGGCAAACTGAAGAAACTTTTTCCTTTTTTTTAAAAAAAATACCACTGATCAATTACATTCGTTTTACCATTTATAGTCAATAAAGTTATATTTACAGGTAGGCAATGTCAGTCAGTCAGTAACAAAGTAGAACTTCGTACGTATGTACATCAGTCCGAGTTGCCAATAGTACATTAGCACAGAGATACAATTGTCGATTCAAATCTTACAGTGGTAAGGGTAATAAAAGTATAAGCAGTAATCGGAAAGATTACGGTTTGAAGTTGTTATTCAGAGAGTACAATCCAGTGAAGTAAATTTGGAACGAGAAAAAAATAAAGGGACATGAAGAATTCAAAAGATTAAACAGGTAGTTATGATGATAGTCAATTGAATTCGACCATAAATGTCAGAAGATACAAAGAGATAGATGGAATTATTGAAATAATATCAAGTATAAAGTATTACATCATTGTTTAACTGTAATTAAATGAATGACTATTGAAGTTTGTCAATATATATCTGGAATCATTTTTGAGTTTATAAATGTCAGTGTCACTGTGGATTGCGTAACACTGTCAGTCTATTGTATGAATATAGATAGACATTGTTTCGGCTCTGAATTAAAGAAAAATATACGATAAAAAGTCGTTTGAGCATCGGTTACTTTCTTAGAAAGTAATTAGAATAATCTCTGTTAACAAGTAGTAACTACAGTAAAATAATGAATAAACTCCATTGTTGTTATCTTAATTACAGCGAATACGATGGATAGGTTGGATGCAACTAGATGATTTGAACTTCGCAGACAACCTAACGCTTCTGTCCCATACACACGAACAAATATAGGTGAAGACAATTAGTGCAGCAGCAGCTTCTGTAGCGGTAGGCCTCAACATACGCAAGGGAAAAACTAAGATTTTCAAATACAACACGAACAACCTCAACAAAATCACACTTGATGGAGAAGTTCTGGAAGAGGTGGGAACTTCCATGTACCTGGTTAGCATCATCGATGAACAAGGAGAATTCGATGCAGATATAAAGGTGAGGGTTGGCAAAGCAAGGGAAGCATTTCTACAATTAAAGAACATATGGAACTAAAAAAATGTCAACCAATATCAAAGTCGCAATCTTCAATACGAATGTCAACACAGTTCTATTGTACGGAGCAGTAACTTGGGGAACTACCACAATAATAATCAAAAAGGTATAAGTATTTACAAACAATTGTCTACACAATATACTGACTGTTCGTTGACCTGCTGTGAGAGGCAACAAACCAGCTTCCATCTGAAGAGGAAATTAAGAGATGCTGGAAGTGGATAGGACATAAATTATGGAAATCACCAAACTGCATCACGATGCAGACTCTAACTTGGAATCCTTAGAAGTTCGTATGGTTATCGAAGAGTTTTTAAAAGTCACGGTAAAATTAAGAATATGTACTTGGTCACCATGATTACAAGAATATTTTAAGTATTAATATTTTGCAAGTATTTGAATACGCTCAGTAATACAGTTACCGATTATTTATCACAAGTACAGTAAAAAGGATAAGTACATCAACTGTTCATTTGTTTGAAATCGATTTTAGCATGTCAACAAATAAGAAGAGATATCCGAAATGAGCAAGATGGTACACAGATATTTCGGATGAATGAATTCTTCTGACTGAATATATGATGAAAATATCCAGAAAAAGTACCTCAATGCTTTAAGATACAAGATTTGATTGATTTACAACCACTTAGAGCTGATTCGATTATACCATTCTGGAAACAAGCGCATTAAAATTCAACCGCTAGCATATTCCAATACTTAATGATCAGTAATAGTGTAAATTCATTCCACTAGCAAAACAAATATCCTAGGCAATTACATTTTCAAGAACACTTTCTCGAAAGTAATTTTTTTTCGTCTTTAATTATAGGTTACTTACGAGTAGCTAACATAAGTTTACTCATTATTTATCATAGATTGAAGGCAATGAATAATTGAAAGTAGGTAAAATACCATAGAGATTCATCTCATAAACAAACATTTTGGTTAAATGATCATGGTTACCAGTGAAATAAAACAAGATAAATTTCCTGAAATCTTAATATGAATATTTGAATAGGATTAAAGATGAATATCTACTAGAGGATTGGAGAAACATGAAACTGGATCACCATGAAAACCATGGAAGCACTGGACGGTCGTTTCATCCTAGTGTAGGACTCGTCAGTAGTTCCCTTCGATTCACTCATAAATTCAACTGTTAAATTACTATAACATTCACAAAAACTCTTTATGAAACATGAAATTGGTCATCATTAAGTGATCACAGTCAAGTATAACTAGTAGTTAATTCTATTAACTCCTAACTGTTTCTTATCAGAATGTGACAATAGATGATTTTAGCTTAAACTTTCAAATTCGAATTCATTCAAAGATGTTGACAATTAGTGAATAATCTGTGGTTATATACAATGGAATTGGTTACCACCAATCCTCTTAATCTAATGATAACAGTTCATTATAAGCATATTACTTACTTACTTACGCCTGTTACTCCCAATGGAGCATAGGCCGCCGACCAGCATTCTCCAACCCACTCCACCTTCGGCCTTCCTTTTTAGTTCTATCCAGTTATTGTTCATTTTTCTCATGTCTATCTCCATTTCTCGGCGTAATGTGTTCTTTCGTCTTCCACTTTTCCTTTCGCCTTCAGGATTCCATGTGAGGGCTTGCCTTGTGACGCAGTTCGGTACTTTACACAATGTGTGTCCTATCCACTTCCAGCGCTTCTTCCTAATTTCTCCCTCCGCTGGAATCTGTTTTGTTCTTTCCCACAGTTGGTTGTTGCTAATAGTGTCCGGCCAACGGATCCGAATTATTTTGCGTAGACAACTGGTAATAAACACCTGTATTTTCTGGATGATGGCTTTCGTAGTTCTCCAGGTTTCCGCCCCATACACTAGAACTGTCTTGACATTTGTATTGAAAATCCTGACGTTGGTGTTGGTTGACAGTTGTTTTGAGTTTCAGATGTTCTTGGGTTGTAAATGTGCTGCTCTTGCTTTACCGATTCGCGCTTTCACATCCACATCAGATCCACCATGTTCATCAATGATGCTGCTCAGATATGTAAATGTTTTTACATCTTCCAAATCTTCGTCAATTGTGACTGGATTGGTGCATGCTGTGTTGTATCGGAGAATCTTACTTTTCCCTTTGTGTATATTGAGACCTACTGCTGCTGAGGCTGCTGCCACACTGTTCGTCTTCTCCTGCATTTGTTGTTGCGTTTGGGATAGAAGGGCCAGATCATCTGCGAAGTCTAGATCGTCCACCTGCATCCCAGATGTCCACTGTATTCCGTGCTTCCCTTCAGATGTTGACGTCTTCATGATCCAGTCGATCACCAGGAGAAAGAGAAAGAGTGAGAGTAAGCAACCTTGCCTGACACCGGTCTTCACTTCAAACGACTTTGTCAACTGTCCTCCATGCACAATTTTGCAGTGTAATCCATCATATCAGTTCTGTATGATATTGACTATCTTCTAAGGCACGCCGTAGTGTCGAAGAAGCTTCCATAGTGTTGTCCTGTCCACGCTGTCAAATGCCTTTTCGTAGTCAATGAAGTTGATGTAGAGTGATGAATTCCATTCAATTGATTGTTCCACAATGATCCGTAGAGTTGCGATTTGGTCTGTACACGATCTATCCTTACGGAATCCTACCTGTTGGTCACGAAGTTGGGCGTCTACGCAGTCCTTCATCCTGTTTAACAATACCCTGTTGAAGACTTTGCCCGGTATTGAGAGAAGAGTGATGCCTCTGTAGTTATCACAGTTGCTGAGATCGCCTTTCTTCGGTATTTTGATCAGAAGTCCTTCTTTCCAGTCTTTTGGTACTTGTTCCTCATCCCAAATCTTATTGAAGAGAATGTGGAGTATCCTTGCAGTTACAACTACGTCTGCTTTCAGCGCCTCTTCTGGAATGTTGTCTGGTTCTGCTGCTTCAATGTTGGGTGGGTTCAGTGGGGCTGGTCGATTCAAGAGTTCTTTGAAGTGTTCTACCCACCTGTTTCGTTGCTCTTCAATGTTGGTGATTACCTCGCCTTCCTTGCTTTTGACTGGTCGTTCTGGTTTGCGGCGATTTCCAGAGAGTTTCTTTGTTATGTCATACAGTTGTCTCATGTTTCCTTCTCTTGCAGCCTTTTCCGCCGTCATTGCTAGACCTTCTACATATTTACGTTTGCCGGTTCTAATGCTCCTCTTCATTTGTTTGTTTACTTCTGTGTATTCAGCTTGTGCCTTGGTTTTTTCTGCTCTTGTTCGGCTGGTATTGATTGCTGCTTTCTTGTTGTTCCTTTCTTGAATCTTATCCAGTGTATCAACAGTGATCCATTCCTTGTGATGGTGCTTCTTGTGATCCAGGACCTCATGACATGCTGAAGTGATTGCTTCTTTGATCCCCTTCCAGTTGCTCTCCACAGTAGTTCCTTCTCCATTGAATAGATCATGAAAGGCCTGGAACTTGTTGCTGAGGACTATCTTGAATTTGTTGAGTTTGTTAGTATCCTGAAGAAAGGCCGTATTGAAGTTTTGTGATATTGTCCGCCCCGTTGTCCAGTGCTTCTTGAGTTTCAATTACATCATGGCGACCAGCAAGTGATGGTCTGATGCTATATCAGCTCCTCTCTTGGTTCTCACGTCCTCTATAGTCCTCCTGAACGTTTTGTTGATGCAAATATGGTCGACTTGGTTTTGCGCGGTGTGATCCGGTGAAGTCCACGTGGTTTTGTGTATGCGTCTATGTGGGAATATGGTGCCGCCTATCACCAGTTTATTGAAGGCACATAGGTTTGCAAATCTCTCACCATTTTCGTTCCTTTCTCCCAGTCCGTGTCTTCCCATGATGTCTTTATATCCAGTGCTGTCCGTTCCAACCTTGGCATTGAAATCTCCCATCAGAGTGGTCAGGTCCTTTGTTGGGCACTTCTCGATGATTGACTGCAGCCTATTGTAGAATTGATCTTTAGCGTCTTCATTGTAATCGTTGGTAGGCGCATAGCATTGGATGATGTTCATTGAAATGCCCTCTTTCTTTGTTTTGAAGGAGGCTTTGATGATCCTTGGTCCATGAGATTCCCAACCTATAAGTGCATTTTGTGCTTGTTTGGACAGCATCAATGCAACTCCTTGTGTAATGTGGGGCATTTTCTTCTTCTTCATGGCCGAAGTATAACAGAAGCTCTCCTGAAGTTAGTCGTTGTTGTCCAACTTGCGTCCAATGTGTTTCACTGATCCCAAGCACCTCTAGGTTGTATCTCCTCATTTCTGCAGCAATCTGGAAGGCTCTCCCGGTGTCTCACATCGTACGAATATTCCGTGTACCTAAATAAATGGTCGCTCTGGTTGTTAGAAGGAGCATCGGCCTCGTAACTTCCGAAGGAACTCGGCTTTCATCATGAGGCGTCATAGTTCTTCTAACTGAAAACCTTCTGACTCCCAGGGCAGAGTTTAAAAGGTTTGAATACTTTTTTCTGGTTGGCGTTTTTTTAGCGAGTTAGGTTTCTACGGGATGAGGACGCTAACCCCATGCCCAACCCTCCTCCTTTATCCGGGCATGGGACTGGCAGCAGCCCCCGGAGGAACTCCAGGCAGAGTTCATTATAAGCATATGCTTTCATAAAAATTATATAATAGTTACACATGACAAAACAAAGAATGAATAACATACCATGTAAGTTACCACAATCTTGTATGACAATTATGATTACGTACAGCATTTGTATAAGAGTAAGTTTGTTTAGAAGGATTTTTTAATTCGTATGAACGATAATTAAACATTTCTGAATTGGTGGTCATAATGGAACTAGTCGATTTCTTTTGTGTTGTAGATCTGAAATTAAATATATATAAATTTTAATTAGAGATGGATTTTGTGAATATGATAGTAATTTTAATAGTTGGAATCATGAGTCAATTAAAGCTAGACCAACATGAAACACCTGGAAGCACTGGATGGCCGTTTCGTCCTATTGTGCAACTCCTCAGCAGTTGGCATTCACGGCCCCATCTCACGAGATTGCATTCTCAAGAATCTAATACATAATGTAATTCAGCTTAGAAATCTGTATTACTCACTGATAGTTTTACTGTTAGTCTATTATTATCAATGGAAACCTATTCAGTAATACGTAGTAAAACATTCAGTATTCTCTCAAATAGGATAACAATATAGAAAAAGATATTTGTTAAGTAAGATTTATAATCAAAGAGGAAAATGATCATGTTTATTAACTTGAAAAATAAATTCACTTGGTATTGTTTATCCTGTATCTTCCCACTGTATGCACATATGTCAATAACAGACTGATCAGTTGCTGTCCCAAACCTCAATGGGAAGATACAAGCCAAACAATACCAAGTGAATTTAAATTCACCCCATTGCACAAGCAAGCGGCTATCAGGACTCAGTAGCTAAGTGGATAACGCGATGGTGTTTGAAGCGAATGGTACTGTGTTCAAGTCCCAGAGTGAACATCAACTCTGAGATGCAGATACATCCAGCTGACAAGTTCCAAATGGGACGAAACGTGCGTCCTGGATTCCACTGTTAACCACTATCCATCATCGCCTACAAAAAGCTTGGAAAATAAATTCCTAATTAAATGAAGACAATAAATATCAGTAAGGTTATAATCATTAAATCCTGTATAAGGTTAACCACCCTCATTAAATATTTGAAGAGATTATGAGATCACCTAAATTTGAGAACGGAATGAAGACTCAGCAACACAATGATCAGATAAGCTAACTATTCTGATGCACCTCAGTCTCGTTAACTAGAGGGAGAATTTCAGGTCAGAAGAGAGAAAATATATTCCACAAACAGACAGAAGGACGAAACACAACAACATACCCAACTCAAGAATATATAAATGCAGCATGAAAATGTTCTTGAGAAATGTCACAAAATAAAGAAAACGAACCAATGATATTTAAAGACTTGACAAGTAGGAAATACGATATGAAGGTGAGAATTGGCGCTTTTAGTGCGAAAACAAGAAATCCAAATTGCTGAAATAAAATTACAAAAATAATACGTTTACCAAGTGACTTCTGAAGATCTAGCATCCCCAAAATGTATATACAACAAACAGTTTTCATGTGACATTTTATTTCAATCATCTAAAATTACCTCTATATATCTTCTATAACCACACTACTGTAGGGCGTTCCAACTTACTGGATGAAAAAAACCCAGATAAATTGAAAGTTAAAGCTTGAAATGAAATCTTTAATGGAAATAGGCTTTTATGTCCAACATTAACCCACTATAAATGAGTAGAAAAGTGTGCGGAAATGTTTAATACTGAACACATATTGGACACTGAAAAACTAGGATTCTCTACAAATTCATAGAAAAATATCCTATCTCATTTACATAAACATTAAACTAAAGACTGTCAACATAGTTCATTAGTTTAAATTACAACAGTGGTCTTGAGTACTGTTAGAGGTATAGATGGTAGTTGGAGGTAGTCAACAGGAAACCCTGGACCCGTGTTTCGTGCTACCTGACACTCGTCAGCAAGGTGTACCTGTAATCATGAGGGAACTGATGCTCCCCGGCGGACTCGATCTCGTGTCACCCAGCTTCACAGTCAGAGACGTTACCACTGAGCTATCCGAGCCGTGACTAACCCCCTGTAGGACTGAGATGTCCAGGGTCCAGGGTTTCCTGTTGATTACCTCCAACCACCATCTAAATCTCAATAAATAGTGCCCGTAGTGTCGAGTCACCTAGACTGGTGGCCACATTGCAACATGATCGATAGCATTCGATCTGCACTAATAAGGACTAGACAAGCATGACATCGATCACCACCCAGTGATCAGTCAATTGTGATTACTGTTAGAGGTATGTGGGCAGCTATCACTTCCCGGTTTCCCACACCGTGGAAAGATTCTTCTGGAAGTACTTGAAAAGAAAATTGGGTTAGAGATGGTCTTAATGATTAGAGAGCGTGACCGCGGTACCAAAGGGTCACACACAACCTTTTTGTGTTAGCTCCGTACTTGCCGGTGCCTTACCTCTGGAGATGAATATCCGTAGGATAAGGTGATTTGTGCATCTTTAGGGTCAACCTATTCTAATTTCACCCCTCCTTGTGGGAAGGTAGCATCGCTGTTACACTGGTTGTCTGAAGAAAACACCTTACTGCCGTCACACCTTTGTATAGTCAGCAGTACGACTTCGCCTTCGGACCATGGGTTTTCTGCTTTTAGTCTTATCGTTCTTCAACCGACCTGTCTGGCATGGTGTAACCATGAGGAACGATTGTTCCAACCAGTATAGCTCGATTGGTTCATCACGATAGGCAAGACCGACCATCACGTCAAGGTAGCAACAACGGTAATAAATGAAAAAAGAGTGATACGACTAAAAGATGAATGAAATTCACTTCTTTTCTTACTCCGAACGCTTCAAAAAATAAGATCACTTTATTATTATCAGATAGTATTATATCATCGTATCTTAGACAAGATTAGCTTTTTTAATAATTTTCAGTACACAATATAACATACTTGTACAAGTGGGTAGCTATCGGGACTCAGTAGTTAAGTGGATAAACGTGTTAACTATTTGAAGTGAAAGACAATGAGGTTTGAATTTCAGAATGAATGTCAACTCTGGAAGGCAAGTGCATTCAGCTAATGAATTCTAAGTGGGATGAAACATGCGTTCTTGATTCCATTGATAACTACATCTCATCATTTTTGTATACATAATATGACGGTTGTAAACTGCCAATTTCCTAGAATTCGATGCAATAACTTATCTTTTTGAAGTATATCTACTGGTGAAGAGCCAATCTTAATGATCATTCATCAGAAATGAGACGTTTTTTGAAGCAGTATTCCATTTAAAATACTAGCTGATGTGTAGTTTCAATTCTTAATCGTATATCCATACTGCTTTACACTATGAACATACAAAACTTTGCACTCTTATTATTAGACTTTATATATTGACTACATTAAACTTTCCTTAAAAAAGAAGTAAATTTTAAAGTCTTGAATTAATATATTACATTTAGTTTTTTGCTTGCGTTCTACCATACCAATGGAGTCCAATCCGTATCGGGTAGAGACAGGTATCTACCTCAGACAACGGATGAATAATTGCACAGCCATTCATGGATCGATGAATGCCGATTCGGTGGTCTAGAGGTTAAGAGTTCGTGCGCGAAACCGAAGGTCCTGTGCTTGAACCCCGCGTGTGGGACCGTGGACGCACCGTTGAGGAGTCTCACACTAGGACGAAACAGCAGTCCAATTCCTTCAGGTTTTCAATAGTTGTCCATCTTACACTGACTCAAGAATTCAACTATTAAGAAATATAAGTAATATTTTTAATAGTCAACTGATAAACATGATTTACATGTGATTTTGATCACACACAATTAAAAAATATACTTCTTTCATTCACTAATATAGTGGCAAACTAATGATTCCCCACATGATATACTATTTCAATGTGAAATTTTTTCTTTATTATTGCTTGAGACATATTTAGACATAAAAGCATTTCAGAAAATTTGGTTGTTAAGATAGAAATGATATGTTTCATAACCAGTGAACTCCAAATGGAGATATCCGTCTATCAGTTAAGGGACGAGTATACTGCGCCGTAGTTCGTTCTGTTCTACTTAACGGCTGCGAAACGTGCTCATTAAGAATAGGAGGTACTCGTACGCTACAAGTACTTAATCACAGATGACCCAGAAATATTGCTCGCATCTGCTCATACACTAGTAAACATCGTCTGTTGAAGTAGGCAGTGGCTGGACATACATATAACATATTCTAGCCACATTATTAGATAAAGATTCGCCACCTCACCAACAAGATTTTCATCTTTACCTAGTATCATTGCATCTGATCTCATTATTGTTCACTCGGTAATCCCAACATACATAAGCAATATTATGAAGACGCATGTTTTTGAGAAGCCTCCAAATGCCCTAGTACAGCTAAGAGTAGGGCACGTGCTTACAACCACTGCCAAGGAAGTCTTACTAACTGCCTTCTCTCACCACACATGTTGTTTACGAAATTGATAGCACGAAAAGCGAATGTCCGGTTTTTTAGCGAGGTTGATGGATATGGAGGATCCATCTAGGGAAGTTGGGAAATCCTCATTCCAAACCAAAGGTGTACATGGGCTCCAGAATCATAAGGAAACAAATGGCGAATGAACCTATTGTTGGTCACCGAGTACCACGGAACTGTATCTCCTTACGTTGCTCCACTGCCTTGTGAATTAGACCTTTAATTCAAAGACTCGGGATTTTGCCCTCTAAGAAAACCACCTAGTTCGGTTTGGGCACCCGGGTAATATCTCAGCCCTCACATAATTCGAATGATTATGTGGCGTCTCCTTGTATCAATATTTATGTGTTTAAATAAATAAATAAATGTTTTTGCGACAACCTGTAACTTCTTCATGCAATTTGGAATATCAACAAAGGTGACCACAACTAGTAAATACCTGTAATTACTCTTCAAAAACATACCTCTAATATTCTCAATCAAGTCTCAAGCTGTTAAGATAATAAGGAAACAGTCTAGTCAGTAAAGAACGTACATTTTATAGATAAAATATTCATCGGAGTTTACAAGAATATCACATTAAAATAATTAATAACTTAATTCATTCTGATCTATGATCTCCTAACAGTTACTTCAATTCAATGAATAAATACTGCATAATCTCAATTATTTGTATTCATGTATTATGAAAGTTAGTCTAACTTATATTTTTCATTGAAACGATCATCAAAGTTGAATTCATGAGTTCATCTAAACTATATCATCACTGAAAATCTGGAAGCACGAAACAACCATTTCTTCCTAGAATGGGAACTCCTCAAGAGTGAGTATCCACAATGGTAGTCGGAGCAGTCGATGATTGGGCATACGTAACACATGTCCCAGTCATCTCAAATGATGAAGTTTCACTACTTCATCAAATGATTTGACATCCTTAACCTAGTACCCGTCCCCTAACGACTGTATTACTTACTCGGTGGTCCCAGGATATACTAGCAGTGCTTCGAAGACACCTATGATCAGATACTAGTAACCTACGAATATCCTCTACTCTTATCGGTCATATTTCACTGCCATAAAGTAGGATGGAACGAACTGCTGCGCAGTAAACACGTCCTTTGGTTGGTAAACGAATATCTCGCTTACGCCATAAATGACGCAAGTTGGCAAGAGCTAGTCGAACCTTCTGTATTTGTGCTGAGATTTTGTCACATACCAGACCGTTACAGTCACACAAAAATAAGTTACAGACAAATGATGAATGAGATAAGAAGTGCACACACTTATGCGCTCATATAAAAACAGTAAAGGTTGATAAGTAAGTAATTAAATAACAAGGTCAAAATGTAACTCAAGAAGAATGAATAAATTAGTCTGTCCAGAAGCTAGAACAAATCATATAGGCTTAATATAGTAACTGACACTACACACACTGTTTAACTACAGCGAATAATACAATTCGATTTTCCAATAATTACTAGATGAACAAGTGGTGGTTGGTATTCACTATAGCGCCCTTAAACTTCATATATAGTTCATCCTGATAACTATCCTTAAATAACGACCCAACAGTGTATTAATCAGATGGAGAATATGAAGTATTGATTAAGTTTATTATTGCACCACGCACAGATAACCAAACTTACAGGTACGTTAAGCAAGCATGAAAGAGTAATGCCGAAAAGCTAGCAGGTGAGTCGAGTGAGCGAATCGCCAAGTCAATGAACAGGATTAAAATGTATATATATATACATAGTGAAATGAATGGATCCTCAGATCAATCAATAAACGACTAATAATGAGGCTAGCAGAATCAAAATATGAGTAGGCAGTAAGCAAAGCTCAAGTATGCATATTCATACAAGTGCAACAATAATAAGAAAGGTACACTGATATAAGTTGTTATTGTACAGATGGCTCCGTCCTTTAAATAAGTTAATAAAAGGGCTTAACCAAATTGAATGTAAACAAACTCAATTGCACATGAGCTGCCATAACATACATTTTTTTGTTTTGTTTCAGTATAAGATATTATGCTGGGACTATGATACATGGACCAACCAATCAGATTTACGATCACAGGTCTTAGTTCAGTCACCCATTCGTTCAAGTAGCGTCTTGACATTTTAGCTAACGTCAGTTCGTGGTGCTAACCATATATCTAAAACCTAACCCTTACGATCAACTTTAAATCATAATTTTAATTCCCCTTACTGGTTTATAACCCTTATGTGGTCCTAGTTATTCGGTGGACACTAGCGTCGCTCAAAGGTTGTTCATAAATTATAGTCTCACCTGTTATATCCCGATGAGAATAATGAATGGTCACTGTTGGAATCTATTTCTGTACTAATACTATAGGTAAATTTCTACTGTATGATTGTTAAATAACCAAACTATTCATATTCGTGTTCCTCTTAACATAAGCTTTATTTTGACCTATGAACTATTACTATATGATTTACCATTCTTGAGTTATGCCCAGTCTGTTAGTTACAGTCTCTCACATTCACAGCCACATTTGGCTAAATCTTGTACAAATGTTGTTTCGTATTTTATGGTACGATATGGTCTGTCTGGTTGGTATATAAACCGAGTATGTTTAGAGTAAATGGTTGATATCGCAGAGGCTGAGATTGGTGTTCTGGACTTAACAGGCAGGTCTAGGCAGGAAGCAGGACCGATAAGGACTCTAGACTGCTTTCACGGGTTTTATGCGTCATTGGTTCGGTCGATAATTCACTGTTCTCTAATTGGCGATATCATTACATTATACATTGATAGGAGAAATGGGCACAAGTTATAACAATTGGCAATGGGGTGAAAAACAAAGAACCAAGGGCACAAAACTAAAAGTTATGACATCACCGATATTATTCAACATATATAATCCCTAAGTAATACTTACCTATTAACATTATCATATACATTATGTAATAGTCCAAATGTCTTCACTTCATTACGACGCTGATCCATAGGTTTTGACTCATTAAGATGTTGTTTTAATTTAACATTTCCATCATCTATTTTAGATATATCATAAACACTTGTTAATGTATTATTATTATTACTATTATTACATAACTTCATATCTGTCATGGGTATAGGTATTTCATCATTGATAGTTCTATGTAATTCATTCACTTGTTGATTATTTAATGTTTTATTATGAATATGAGTTTGATCATTTAACTTTGCTTGTTCATCCATGGTTATTGTGTTGCCATAGTGATTATTATTATTATTATTATTATTATTATTAGGTTTATGATAAGAATGATTGACAATAGGATTCATCTTTCTTTTATGAATTAAACCTTCTGTATCCCAAATTTGAATAATAGATGATAATTCACATGGAATAGTAGAATGTTTTTCAATGTTCAATGTATCATAAAAAATTTGATCGAAAAATTTTGAATAAACAACAAAATTATTTGATGAAAAAATTGGATTTTTTAATTGATAATGTTTATGTAAAAATTGTAACATTTTTTTCGAAGGAAAATCAATAGCCAAACAAGAAGGATTAATATTTTCATACTGAAAAAAAAAATTATGGGAAAATCATTTGAGAAATAGAGAGGGGTGGGGGGAAAGCGAAGAAAAAAAACAGCGGGGGTGGGGGGTTCTGATAGTGTTATATCCTAGCGAAGATTAAATGACGAGTAACTCCTGAGACCTATTAATGAACTAATATTATATATATATATATTCCTATTCAGTAATTAGATTATGTATATCTAACTATATTTCTCTTATTATAAGCTCCATTTTAACATATCAGTGGTCTTGGGTGCTGTTAGAGGTATGAGGGCGGTTATCACTTCCCGGTTGCCCACACCGTGGAAGGGTTCTTCTGGAGGTACCTGAAAAGGAAATTGGATTAGAGGCGGTCTCAGTGACCTGAGAGCGTGACCGCAGTGCCCAAGGAGCAACTGCTTGAGGCCGGTCACACACGACCTTTTTGTGGAAGGTTTTTGACGTGTTAGCTCCGTTCTTCAAAGGGCCTTACCGCCGGAGACGGAAATCCGTGAGGTAAGGTGAGGTGCGCATTTTTAGGGTCGACCTTTTCTAACCCTACCCCTCCTTGTGGGAAGGCAGCATCGCTGTTATGCTGGTTGTCCGAGGGAAACACCTTACTGCTGTCGCACCTCTGTACAGTCAGCAGTACGACTTCGCCTTCGGACCTTGGGTTTGTTGCTTTTAGTCTTACCGCTCTTCAACCGACCTGTCTGACATGGTAGGACCTTGAGGAACGATTGTTCCAGCCAGTATAGCTCGGTTGCTTCATCACGATAGGCAAGTCCGACCACCACGTCAAGGTAGCAACAACGGTCGGGATTTTAACATATAGATTATTATTATTGTACGATTTACTGTTCTTAAGAAGTTATGTTCAGTTTATTGATGATTACAGTCTCCCACATTCACAACCACATTTTGGCTTTATTGTGTGTATGAATGTTATTTCCTATTTCATACTGTGATGAGGTCTGTTTGGTTGGTATATAAACCAAGTATGTTTGAAATCAATGATTCGTATAATGAAAGCTGGTATTGATGTTCTGGATTCAACTGAATGAGCTAGGAGAACAATGAGTCAACAAGGACACTAGGCTGCTCATACCAGTCGAACGACATTGGTTTACCACAATAGTAAGATTGGATAAGTCGTATTTCAATTGGCGAATCAATCACGTGATAACAAGCTGGACTTAAAACCACAACAGATAGGGTAGTGTATTAACAAATTATACGTTTTATTCAAAATATTATAATTCAATACAAAGAAATGGAAGTATTACTTGGAATCCTCAAGGCTAAAGGAGAAGAGGAAAACTAAACAACACAGTACGCCAAGAAATAGAGACAGACACTACAAAATTACAAAATATCTTAGTAAAATCTGAGAATCATACAGTAAATACTTCATTTACAAGAAATTAAACAATCGTATCAGACTTCATTGTTCTTTCGTTTCCATATCAATCATTCTATGTTCTCGTTCTCTTTCATTCGATCTCCTTAACCTTCTGCTGCTAGGCATTTCACTTCCCATTCATGATACATGCTACTTATATCTAACGACATCAGTAGTACACACTGCACTATGACTCAATTCAATGTGACGATGAACTGTCGTTGATTCAATCATTTGTTTAAAATAACCTGTACTAGGATATATCACATGACTGAAACCACATTACATACATTTAATGATTTTTTCAAGTTTTATCGCTCTTCAAAAACAATCATATAGAAGAGGCTATTGCTATCCACTTGTTTAAGCTTAACCTTCGTGTACACAAAACATTATGTTTTATTCCTCATTATTCTATGGCCTGAACCTTCCTTGTCACCCTTTTCTAATCTCTTGTTTCTTTAAATAATTATTCCTACTCTTCTACACTTATTTTCACAACTAATAATTAGCCATTATTATAACTTTTAACTATTCTTCTTTGCATTGTTTGTTTGAATCTCCCCATTGATGTGTTAGAACTGAAACTGATCAGTCTCTTATTGGCATATGTTCATCATGTGTGGATTGCCTTGAGTCACAATCGCAGTCCTAAACATGTATGGAGAAATTCAAACAAACAATACAAATTGAATTAAAACTTAACCCTATTGCACAAGCTACTGGTTGTCAGGGCTCAGTAACTATATGGGTAACGCGATAACGTCTAAAGCGGACAGTATCGGGTTCGAGTTCCGAAGTGAACACCAACTCTGGGACGCATATATATCCGGCTGACATATTACGTGTCCTGGATTCCACTGCTAGCCAACATCCAACTTTGCTTTTAACTATTCTGTTCTCAATAGCTATCAAGTGGACCAATTCTCTTCATCTTAGTACTTCTCACTAGCTGATCGTTGCATTCCTTTAGATATCCGAGTTTCATAAACAATTCATAACAAGACATTATTTCAAAACTTTTTAAATGTTCAACACCAATCTATTCTGCTAAAGATTACCCATTTGAGTAAATACGGTTGACGATATATTAGATTGTATAGTCTAAGTATATAAAATCGTCAAAATGAAAATATTCAATGAATACCTTATTAAATTTACATTCGTCTTATAAACTCTTAGGAACTGTGCATGTACAATTTTAATGTTATTTGGTTATGTTGTAAGTATTCAAATGTAATCAACTTTCATCTTTCGTTCGTACACCTTTGTAGTGAACAGAACACCGGTGGGGACACTCGAAATTACAGGACTTGTTAATAAAATCTAACCATCATAAAGCAAATGCTTAATTTACAAAATGTCCAGCAATTGTCTCAAAATGACTCAGATATCAATGTTCTTGTATTTTCATACAAATTACATCCTGTTTCCATTCTTTATTGTTCGATCCTCTTGTCTCTATGCTGCCAGACCTTCTGTCCACGATTAACATCATATACCACTTATGTCAATATAAGTAGTACATACCATACCTTCACCATACCTATAGGTATAAGCGATCTAGTTTTTGTTGTCTGCTAGTAAGTCAGTGTATGAAATCTAATCTTCCAACATTTTATATCTGGTATTTAAATACAACCCTTACATAATGAGGTTAGTCTAGGTGTTATATACGAAAAGAAACAGGATATATATATATATATATATATATATATATATATACACCATCATCAGAATCATCGAGGTTAGGTACTCCACCACAAACTACTAATAAAAGTAATATCAGTCATGATTATCCACCGCTCGATTACAGATCACAATAATCTTTTATTAAAACTTTTAAACATAGAGGCTGCATTCTGAGATGGTAGAGTAGGTATATATTTCAAGAGAATGATTTTGTTAAAGTAACATTCTATGACCTAAATGTTTCAATTATAAATCTTAATATTGAAATGGTCACTGGCATTAGTTTATCTTTGATGTAATTTAGTTTGTTCATTTAAGGTGTTTAGATAAATGACATAAAAGTAAGTAAGTACCTGTGAGAAATGTTCACTTGAGATCAGATGATATTAAAAAGATCAATAAATCAATAAGGTTTAAACCCAGTTCAACAATTTTTCTTGTGTTTTTTTTTCTTTTTACAAGTTTGCCTGTGTATAAAAAAGATTGTGAATAAGGTAATTTGATCAAGTACACTTATCATTTAACTCCGTCTGGAGTCACTCTGGGAGCTACTGCCGGTCCCAAGCCCGGATAAAGAGGAGGGTTGTTCATGGGGTTAGCAACCCCATCCCGTAGAGAACTAACTCGCTAAAAAAACACTTATGATTTAGTTTATGTTTAGCATATTTAAAAATTCATGTTTATAAGCAAAACGATATACAATCCTTTTAGTAACATCAGTAACTTCTTTATGTTCCAAATTATAGTATTAGTATGTGAGTAGTTAACATTATCTCAGATACAATATAGTTTACACAAATTATGGGGATTAAGATAAACTCAAATATATATTTAGAATGTTGTAACATATTATTCTGGAGATTGAAATTAAAGATAAGCGCAAACCCACTAATTAGCCTATTAACTGTTATACCCCGATGAGAATAATGAATTATAAATTTTGGGATCTATTTATGGACTAATATATTCTTATTGTATAACTGTCAAGTAACTAAACTATTCATATTCGTGTTCCTGTTATTATGAGCTTTATTTTGACCGACAAACTATTATTATACTATTTATCATTCTTGAGTTCTGCTAAGTCTATTAATTACAGTCCTCCATATTCACAGTCACATTTGGCCAATTCTTGTACAAATGTTGTTTTCTATTTAATGGTGCTATGTGGTCTGTTTGACTGGTGTATATAAACTCAGTCTGCTTGAAATAAATGATTCATATCACAGAGGCTGAGATTTGTGTTCTAGACTCAACAGGTAAGAAGGCTAGACAAGAAGAGGGACTGAGAGGGAATATAGACTTCTTGTACGGGTTTACTTGTCATTGGTCCGGTTGATAGGTCATTGTTCTCTAATTGACGGTATCATTACGTTATATACTAATAGGGTACAAAGTCACAAGATATAACACTTTTTTAAGTTAGTGAAAAGTAATGATCATGATATTCATGAGACATTATAGAATATAAGAATATCACATCGTATACAGATTTAACCTTTTTAATTTATACATCCATGTAATTAAACATATGTATAAGCCTATGTAAGTGATAAGCGTGTTTATAAATTTTCTAAAGTTATTCGGTGAGACTACAACTTATGGACGACCTTTAAGTGACGCTAAACTAACCTCGAAACTGTCTACCTAATAACTAGGATCAAATGAGGGTTATAAATTAGTGTGAGGAATTAGAATTATAACTTACAGTTGATAGTTTGGGTTAGGAATTACAATTAGGTTTTTCATCACGAACTGACATCATTTAAAAAGCGAAGGTGCTATTTAGCCAAATGGATGAGTGAATTTCGCGCCAAAATCCGAGACCTGTTATCTTAGAACTGATTGGTTCGTCCAGAAATTATAGTCTCGCCGACTACATTTATTTATGAAGTAACAAAATTTAATTCACATTAGCTGAATATCTATGACCTTAAGTAGTGTGATACTGAGGACATTTAAACTTTGTTTACATGAATGATTTCATAAATAAATGTAGTCAATAACACGGAATTGTAAACCACACCTAATTTCAAAATACTAACAATGTTACTATAATAGCTTGTCGACTTGTGCCTTATAATCATATATAACGTAATGATACCGTCAATTAGAGAACAATGACCTATCAACCGGACCAATGACGCATAAAACAAGTACGAGCAGTCTATATTCCTTATCAGTCCCTCTTCTTGTCTAGCCTTCTTACCTGTTGAGTCTAGAACACAAATCTCAGCCTCTGTGATATGAATCATTTATTTCAAGCAGACTGAGTTTATATACACCAGTCAAACAGACCACATAGCACCATTAAATAGAAAACAACATTTGTACAAGAATTGGCCAAATGTGACTGTGAATATGGAGGACTGTAATTAATAGACTTAGCAGAACTCAAGAATGATAAATAGTATAATAATAGTCTATCGGTCAAAATAAAGCTTATAATAAGAGACACATGAACATGCATAGTTTAGTTAGTTAAAAAATTGCACAATGAAAATATATGTATCACATTAGTCCAGAAAACGTTCTCAAAAGTTATCACTCATTATTCTATTCGGGATATGACAAAAGGTTTACGAAGCAAAGATAAGTCATAGTTTTTATCTTCAGAAAAGGTTATTAGATTTAAGAAACAATTTTTACAGCACTTAAAATGATTTAAAATACGATAGATGTACATGTGTCGGATGAACTTTACGTTCACAGTCAAAGCTAATTATTTAGTAAACTTAAGAGTAAGAACTAAAGCGGACAATAGGCAAAGCGGAGCACTGAATAGATTACTAAGTAACGACAGAGTTATTTCATGATGTACAGTCATCTGACAGGAAAGTTGTGTTGACTCAAAGAAGTGAAATGCCCGTTTTCAGGATGTATGTAAGAAGAAAAGGTATCCATGTTTCTTTTGGTTTTTACGATTAAACGTTTCTCAAAAATCCACAAGTATATAATCCCAAATATTTGAAAACTTTAATTATAGCTTTTCAGGACACTTTGAAGGACTTGTAAGGAAGAGTTATGTACATAGTGTTAAACATATTAGAGAATCAAGGTGAAAACATTCCCTTCAGCAGTTTTCAAAGTGTGTGAGACAATTTCATTACACATATAGAAATATACTAAAGACCAGTGTAGTTAGATTAAGTGGAAAACATGGACTAATATGATGCCGTACATCATCTTATTGATTAGAACCAAAGGAGGCTGTCGTAATAAGAGATGTTCTAGTGTAAAAGACAAGCTTAAATAATCTCATAGGACGGAATACTCACTTAACTAAACTTTAACCCTAGTCTCTGGTCTTCCTTGATAGATATTGTTTATGCGAGGGATGCATACTAACTTCTGAATAACACAATTTTTTATCTTTATTTCTTACATACAAGGTACTCAAAATGACTGCTTTATTTGGTTGATTTCACAACTCAGCACAATCACATTGTTCCATTGTATTCAGCTCAGAGATAACAGCTAAGAGAGATAGATTCAATATCAACTAAGTAATGAATTTCATAGACTGTGACAAACAATGCGTTAGATAAAGTAGATATTCCGCTTCTTTACAAATAAACAAACAGAAATTGTCAGTGAAACACAATATGTTAACAATGATTCCACAAGCATACAAACAACTATGAACACGAGCTCTCATTGTAAAATATCACACTCTGAATTCAGAGAATTACAATAACATCAAGGAAGTTCTGGAAACACAATATTCAGGTCAATCACCAATTAGCAGATGTATGAAGAGACTCAATCTATCAATCACTACAAAAGAGGCCAATCAATAGCACAATCAAATGTTAAGCAAATAAAACAGTTACATAGAATATATGTAAAAATGAAGAAAACGAAACCTACTAGGATAAAGAATCACAAACGAAGCAACCAGGAAGAAATCACTAAACATTTAACTATGAAAAATAAGCTTACTTATATACAAAGTAAGCGCTGATGACGTGAAATAAAATGAAAGGGAATGCTCCGAAGTTGAACAATCTATCTCAGTAACACCAAAAGCATTTATCTGAGCTCGAAATCCTCTTCAACATTACAAAAACCAAACTGGATGGCTACCCGTAAAATCGATCTATTCTAATTCCAGCAATGCTAACCTTGCATATTACAATAAAAGGCCATATGAATTCATATCAAACATTATGTTTATCTCAATGGATGTTGATTAGCAATTTTACCAAATGATTTAACCTATTTAAACGTTACATATAAAGTAGAAATTGCTGGTTCTTTGCTTCCAATACACTCATGAAGGACCACGAGCAAAGCTCACAAGGGAGCTTTGAAAAACACTATTACTGTTAAGCAAGAATACATATATGAATAGGTAGTTTATTGTAAATCGAATCGAACATAGATGTGTTGATTTATATAGGGTCACACATCCCTATGATGTGAAAAAACTGGGTAACAACCTATCACTTCTTGATCAAAAGTTCATCTTTCAAACCGTTGTACCATTTCTTTGCTTTGATGAAGAGAACTTTGAGCTCAGTACGAAGAACTAATACAGAAAAAGGAGCGAAATTTGAACAAGGAAATACTTGATGACTAGTACAATCAACATGATTGCGCCAAAACAAGATAACACCATAAGCGGAATGTGACAACTCATCGCTGAAACACTTACTTTAAGCATAAAGTCAAATAACTTTTTTCCACAACCTTTCCTCTGATGTGATTCATGTACGTAGAAATCCAAAACACATAAAGGCACGCATTCGACACAAACGCCTCTTCTGTCATGCACAAAAAGACGCTTCCTACCTGCTTTTAAGAAACCTAAAATTCTAAACGAAAATTGGTGGTAAATTTTACGCACGTTTTTGAAGGAATATCAGATAATAAGAAAATTGTCTGGTTTGAATCCCTGAACTTCGTATAGGACGTCACAGGTCCAGGTAACATTTGAGCCTTTCAAAATGATTTAAGAATGTGTTTACTTTTGCCGAACGTTCACCTAGTGAATCCAAAAGACTGGGTAAACTTTTGAACGAGTCAGCTTCTGTTACATTCCTTGAAAAACTTAATAATATGATTGTGTAAGCAATAAATACAACTGATTGTGCTCAAGCGCATGTAATCCTCTGACTTTGTTTCCATTAATGACTGTGACTTCTTGTTTCAAAACCTTGTCTAGGCCAGATCCAAACTCCATTACGTCGTCATGATTTTGTATTGCTCTAAGCGTCTCATGCAAGGTCGCATGTATGAGTAGCTCACTCTAACAAAGCGATTAAAAAGGATATTTGTTCTTGAACCCCTGAATTAATAACATCGTGAGCCACGATAGTTTACTCACCTACTGCCATGTAATATGAGTACAAGACTCTGACGCATTTCATGTGTTATGTAGGATGTAAGTGTGACAGTATCGATTAAAGACATGCTAAGTAAACTACAAAGATGGAGTGCAAAATCTGACAACTCTTAACATGATTATAAACCACTTATGGACTATTTGATTTCTTCACTGCTGTGTTATGACACTTTAAATTGGTTGAAAGCAAAAGAGCTGTTTCACATATTAGACAACATTAGAAACGCGTGATTTATAAATCCATTATCCAATATCTATATCATGAGCTTCACTAAAGCGGTTAGTTTCTTTTTTTGTCGCTTCTTGTATCCGCGATGCAGTTCCGAGGATTCCATAATGTCTAATGAATGGTAGTCTAGTTACTCGACAGAAGTAGTTCTAGTCATTGTATTAGTTATTTATTGATTTGCATATTTTGAAGTTGGGTGAATGCGTTTTTCATTAAACAATGGGGTTCCCGGATACCAGCGGCCACCATATTAATGAGCAAGATGTTAGTTAGTTTTAATTTGAAAATAATAGTGATAATTGGAGTGCCGAGAGAAGACGACTGTTTTACGAATTAGTTATTTGATTGGTAATGAGTAGGAAGTCGGAATTGAAAGAATAAGAGAGAAAATGGAAATGATAATAGAAGTGATATAAAGTAGTTACTAATATGCGGTAAAAATAACTGCTGTAAATTGCGAGACATGTATCAGACGTAGCTAGTCTACTCCTAACGCTAACTAATGAACGGGCTATGGTCACCTCTGCTGAGAGGCATTCTAAATGTGGGGAACCCTTAATAAGAAGTGAAAGAACACCTGGCTGTTTTCTCTTTGATTTTCAGTCTTTCGAGGACTGCCTTAAGTAACGTGATGGTGATGTTCTTTTAATATGTTCATATTAGGGCGGCTTGAAGTGCAGAGAATGTTTTGCGACATTGTTGAATCGCTTCTTATTCTCCTGTAGCTTAGCGGTAACTGCAAGACGTCTAAATCATCTAATACATTTATGCTAACCGTCTCTAAAGGATACCTATAAAAAGATGCCGGAATGAAATATCAAAGAAAGGCGAGCTGCAGAAAAAAGCAAACATAAACAATTGATAAACTATAGTTGTTTCTAGTGAAAGAAATCGAAGCATATTAGATCGGTATGTAAAACGTAAATAATCACTAAGCAAACTGTCATTAAAAGGTTGCAGATATAATAAAGACCAGTGATCACTGAGGATTTGATCTCAAAAAGTCTCAAACCAATGGATAGAATGTTAAAATAAACAACCAGAATAATTTTATATTAGTTTCAAAGTATAAGACAAACAATAAAGTTCAATGCCCAAAAATATCTGTTTTATCTTTATATCGATTGCTCGCGCTTTATAGGTTATTTTACTTGTCATACCGGATGCAATAGAGGCTCATCGTGCGCTTTAGTACAGTTAAAATGTAGAGTGACGACTATTTTTTCTTCATCTTTGTTGCCTATCAAATAGTTAGGATTTTCCAAGTGACAGATTATTCAAGCCTCAAGATGTGATTCCATGATGAAATATAGCAAGTGTTTGGCTAGCTAAATAATAAATAAACCGCTTGAACAACCTCCTACACAGGTGTGGATACGGTGAAAGGAAAGTTAATCAAGGAGTGATTATTCACGTCTAACCTAGACCTTTATTTAAAGTTTGAGATAGTGCGTGATTTACCACTGCCATGGAAAAGTATTTGCTCCAAGCAACAGGCCATATCTGCTCTGAAGATAAAAGTGTCTGGGAAACCGTGTTCAGTAAATGTGGTCAACATCTCATCTTCTTCCTGCCAAAAAGTTTCGATTTCCTGGTAAGATCAACTACATCGTACAGACTGAGTTCAAGGTCTTAAATTTCATGTGGTTCGAAACTGTCGTTTACACTCCTATACTGAATACACCAAATGAGTAAAAACGTGAAGGTCTTACTATGCACCTCATTTATTTCTTTTGGATCGTCTATCACTTCTTTGATATTCAACGTAACATGAATTAAGGGATCAAACGAAAATCTTATTTCGGAAAGTATATATAATAGATATATGAGTGTATATGATATACATAGAAACCATCGTTCGTCTTTCAACTTCTTTATATGCTCACATTTCATATTTAAAATGAATGCTAGTCGAATAATATGGATAACACAGAAATCACGGTGATCAAGATATGTCTTTCCAGGCCTATTTCCTCGCTCTTCGAACGTGATGAGGATGTGACCATCGTGTTTGATGTATGGCCCCTTTTTAAATGAAACATTTAATTGCAGAAAAACGTCGAGTGTCTATCAAAGAGAATACGAGAGGGATATTTGTCTCAACCAAGACCATACAACAAAATTCCACACTAGTTTCAATTGCTACGAGCAAGGCTTGTGCAGAAATCTGTGAAAATTTTATTCATTCCTAGTAAATGAGGGTGTTAATACAATATGACAGCAACCTTGTGAACAATGCTTAGATAATATAATATCACTATAGGGACATTGTATGGAAAGATTGGATTTTACTCGTGAGCTTACATGCTGTATTATTCTGTCCATCAGCTTGTAGTGCTTCAAATGTTGTTTCGAAACATGAAGTATCATGTACGGAGATCCAGATGATATTTGGCCTACGGAGAGAACTAACGCAGTAACTGGCACTGTTGAATTAAAGTCACTGAACAAAATTTTCCAAATACACCATTAAATGGAGAGTCTAAAATTTCTCCGTCATGTCACTACGTTTCATCCTACCTCAATGTGCATGATTACTATTCATCTTGAAATATTACATTTTCGATGAACTTAGAGTTCCACTAAACTGGCAACATATTTAGTCTTAACGTTAACATAATCAACCATCTCATCAAACAGGTTTTAGAACTATCGCCGTCGCTGTGATGCATATATCTTTGAGTGATTTCAAGCTGATGATGAATGATAGTATAATTGACTTCAAACGAATATGGCAACTAATATTCTGCAGTAATAAACTCTAATTTCTTTGCTGTTCGTAATGCTCTTGTTCATTTAAACGCTTGTCTGAATGAGTGATCATATGATAGAAGTCGGCATGTCTGCAGCAATTTTCACGCAATCTATTTTTCTCATTGAGCATTGACTGCATACTGGCAATATCGCCACTTAAAACGATATCAAAACTGTTCTTAGAATCTATTTTGTAGTCACCTTTCACGTAAATCTCTGATGCGGGAATTTTATCATCCTTTACATCAGAGGTAGAAAATATAATAAGTTTGTTTTCAGCTTCAGTTGAAGCTTGTCAACCATATGCAAACTTTGCAACCATTCAGGTAGTTACAATTCATTAGTAAGGTGAGGTGAAATTTTCAGAAGAAACCCCAACGTATCGAGCGGTGATAACAACATTAATGAAGTTACGCAAGATTAGGTGTTGAAGATGCAGGGCTCCATACCTGAAAAACACTGAACTCCTTTATTTACTCAAGCCCACCCGCCGGATTTGGTGATATGAGGTTATTTTGATCTACCTGGCATTTACTAGCGCATGATTTCTGCCCTCAGACTCGCATCTGAAAGTGAAATGAGTATTTACTAGCACTAGACACCACATTCTACCCAATACTCTGTCATAACAATAAAATAAAATTAAAAACGGTTGGTGAATAGTATTATGACAATGACCAAGATGTTGTTCTATGCATGCCGAAATTTCAAACAATTGTCAAGAAGTGAGAAGTCGTAGGCAAGCGATTCCAGTATCAGGACTATATCCCCACAGGCTATAACTTTCAAACTCTATTGAAGCGGTATTGGTGTAATCGATCCCTTACTATTGGCTAAATAACAAGAACACACTCCAACAAATATGTGTTATATGTCCAGATTAGTTAATGTATAACCTTGTAATGGCGGGATACGGCAGTAAACCGTGACACACGGCGTATGTTGTTCACTGTCCCATTTTCGCTAATCCCGTAATGCTATCATTTCAGTGTGCAGTGCAGAAACGAATTAAAAGTCGTCCCCAACCTCACTGCAAAATTAAGGAGTAACACATCTTACAATCAGTCAGAATCAAACTGCTTATAAATACTTTTCTACGCTTTCTCCTGATTACAACTACATAAAATAATCTTAGTTGCGCCTGAAAGCCGATAATTATTATCTCGAATTGTGCATTGGGGTTAACATAAATCCTCATTAGGTCATTTCGAATAAATTCAATTCAATAATCTGCACATAAACGTTGGACTTACTTTGAAGTAGTAATCATCATCTTACAAATAATCCTATAAAAAGGCTTTCTACAAGCACACTTAATGCAACACAATCCATTAGGTAGGATGGAAAACGGGATTATCATACATATAAAGACGTAACATTGAAAAGCTATGAACAAGTATTCTACATACTTCATTTGTGTACTAAGTAAACAGTAATATTCGGACACAGTACACAATATTTGCGCAGCAATTGCTGTCGAATCAACTGTTTATAAGTCAAACAAAGAAGAATATTTGTGTGTAGGGACAAACATCGTGCTCCTGAACTGGCTGCATAACGGTGAAGGTCCAATCTTTCTTCTGTCATTAACGAATTGTTTTTGTATACATCCTGTCAGAGCTGGAGATCTAGATGATGTGTGGAAACCAGGGTTCAATTTACCCATCATCTCCTGGTGACTCATCTTTGCACACTGTCCTACACCCGGAGAAATAGTGAATGGATTCCACAGGACCATTCCTTTTCTGGCTAGGAATTGTGTGGAACAGCGACTTTGCATCTTAGTTACGTACTTCGCAACCTTTATGACGGCTCATGAATTTTAGTGTAAAAAGTATGTGTCCGACCACTCCTAGAATACTGAGCTTCCTTTCCTATCAGTGTTTGCATAAACGAGAAGTTAAGGCTGGAGTACGTACAGAGGCGATTTAGTTTTTCTCCTTAGGAGCAATTGTAACTTCAATTATAAATCCAGATGCAATAAGCATGAACTCGACTCATTATGGGAAAGAAAGATACAATCATTTTCTTCAAAATACTAGATAGTGTACCCTTCAAATATGGAGAGATGCCTATGATATCCGAAACTCCTTATCATTAGTAAAAAGATATTACTCTAATCCTTCTCTCTATATGAATTACTTTACGAATAAATTTCCGACACTAAAATAATCTGCCACAATCTGTCCGTGATATAAAATCTAAAACAATACACCGGTCTCTCACATTTGACGGTGCTATCCATATCAGGTTGATCATACCTTTTAACAGGCATGAATTCTATAAACATTTTCAGAATATATAAGTATGTGCTTATTTATTCATTTACAGAGCATACAAACTACAGCTTACAGATGTCCAAGACATTCTAGAGAGTCACTGCTGGCCTCCTTCAGCTTTTCATATTCGTTGAAAACCACTTAGAAAATCCTGACCCCTATGTTCATGTCTTGGTCGGAGACAAAAAGCTGTTGAGAACCATTGAATACAAAAGTTGAAAGGAGCTACAAGAAGAGAATGGATAGAACTATCAAAAATACAAGGTGGAGAAATGTCAAACCACATTTATTAGCAGACGTAGCATAGGATCAGCTATGGCGAAGCTTCGCCATCAACTTTACGGGATATGACTTAGGTCTTCCATTAACAATACAATATAATGAGCAAACTCCACTCCAATGTATTCTTACTTACGAGACAAATTGCAAACCACCTCCTATCAGAGAGTAAGCGTCTAAATGCGACCTGGCTTTTTGCCAAACCTCTCGTCTGTTTCGTATTCCCTAATTTTACTTTGTTCTCATCTGTTAATAATCTTATCACATGCTTGAAAATATTTTTTTAGCAGATCGAGTTACATAAAAAGACTTTTCAATCCTGTCACTGGATAAGGTATATCTACATAAATATGCTGAGACAGTGTTAAAATTCTGATAAATCCAAAGCACGATGAAAAAACGAATACCATAATCAACTATCAAGCAAGAACATAAATACTGATTTCCTACAGTAATGGACATCGGGTTATATATATATTGATGGCATTCTGGAAACAGCTCTGATAGATGTAAGTAATGGCGCCGTTCCTGTAACAACTATCGGGGGATAAGTCTGCTTCCGATTGCGTCCAAGCTATTGGCTTCCATCATACTTCGTAGGTTGTTCAAAACCCGAGAAAGATTGACTCGCGAGGAGCAGGCTGGGTTTCGTTCTAGTCGAGGATGCATTCATCATATCTTTACTCCCCCGCCATATGTTAGAACACCGCCATACTTATCAAAGGCCAACAATTGTAGTGTTTCTTGACATCAGGGCTGCCTTCGATTCGTTGAATAGGACTGTTCTCTGGGATTGTCTATTGAAGAAGGGTGTGCCTGAGAAGTTTATTAACATCCTAAAAGCCCTGTATAAAAACACCTCAGGCAGAGTGAGGGCATACAACCACCTTTATCCATTGTTCTATTCGAGCAGTGGGGTTAGGCAGGGTTTCCTAATCTCACCATTCCTCTTCAACTTTGCCATCGATGACATTCTGGAAACAGCTCTGATGGATGTAAGTAATGGCGGTGTGGATCTGTTGCCTGGAGAAAAACTTCTCGACCTTGAGTATGCGGACGATATTGTCTTACTGTGCGATAATGCCCAAGGCATGCAATCCGCACTTAATCAGTTGGCAATCAGTGTCCGTAGGTATGGTATGTGCTTTGCACCTTCGAAGTGCAAAGTACTTCTACAAGACTGGCAGGATTCCAATCCTGTACTCACCCTGGATGGTGAGCAGATAGACTTAGTCGAGAAGTCCGTGTATCTAGGTGGCTACACAAGTACTGGTGGTGGCGTGAGTGATGACATCAATGCACGTATAGTGAAAGCCAGAGCGACGTATGCCAATCTGGGCCACCTTTGGCATCTTCGTGATGTCAGTCTGGCTGCAAAAAGTCGGATCTACGACGCGTCGGTGAGAGCAGTTCTGCTCTATGCTTGTGAAACCTGGCCTCTCTAAGTTGAGGACGTTAGACGACTCTCTGTGTTCGATCATCGTTGTCTCCGAAGGATTGCTGACATCCAGTGGCAACACCATGTTAGAAATGCAGAGGTTCGGCATCGTGTGTTCGGGCACAGAGACGATAATCCCATTGGTGTCACCATCTTGAAGCATCGAATTCGGTGGCTTGGACATGTTCTCCGAATGTCGTCCCAGAGAATTCCACGTCGTGCATTATTTACCAACGCGGGGACTGGCTGGAAAAAGTGGAGAGGTGGTCAGTGTATGACATGGTGTCGTGGTATGAAAGAAAGCTGCAAAAGGGCTGGCTCCTGTTGGTCCTTCTAAACTCCCTGGTCGGGGTCCGACAGATGGTGTAACACAGTAGCTAGAGACGTTATCAGACATGGCTCAGTATAGAAGCCAGTGGAGATCTTGCTGTAACCTTCTTTTACTTTCCTCATAAAAAAGTGGTTGTAACTTCCTTAACTGAAAAAATTCTTTCTGATTGTATCTTTTCGTTTCCCCCATTATTATTATTGTTATTTCACTACCATACACTGATCTGTGTTCGTTATTGTTCTTTTCTTTTTCCTTACACGCACCTCACCTTTTTTTTCTCTTCCCATTCTCATTGTTTTGTGTAGCGTATATATATCTGGTGCCCCCTTGTACCAATATGTGTTCAAATAAATAAGTAAATAAATTAGAAAAAAATGTATTTAAAATCAAACACGATTTTATCACAAAATTTCAATCAAACCTTCATGAGTTAAAAGTTCAAATTGATCAGCAATTTCAAATAATAAATTTTATAAAGAATAACAAAAATAAATAACCAATAGTTATCTGTGTTTATGAATTCTTTTGAAGTATCCGCGTAGTTACCTAGAGTGTATGATTTTAAAAAAAGGAATACACAAAATGTGATACAATTTCAAATAAAGATAATTTATTTGAGGTGATGAACAATTGTTGTTGGTCATATTCATAAACAATACTTCCTACAGGAACTTCTGAGGAGTCCCACAATAGGAGGTAACGGCCGTCCAGTGCTTCCAGGTTTTCCATAGTGGTTTAGCTTCAATTGACTCATGATCTTAACCATTGAAATTACTATAATATCCACAAAACCCATCTGATATAATTTATGGACAAATCAATTGAATTTAAAATGATGTCATAAATTTTGGCATCAAACACTGTTATCCATTCTAACTGATACTAGTTCATAATGAAAACTCTAACTCGTATTTCTTAATTCTAACCTCTGATTCTAGATTTGATCCTAATTCCCTAAACTAATTTATAACCTTTTGGTTGATATTATCATATGGTCGGTAAAAGATAAGCAAACTGCTCAACGGTTATAACATGCTTGTTCAAAGTAAATGACTTGCGGAAATTCTAGTGCTGGATCATAGATTCAGTACAATAGTGCAAAACGAGGTTATCTGTTATTCTTTACTTTAACAAAGGTATATAAATCAGTTGGTTTGTATAACTAAGTGAACTGAAGTAGAGCAACAGTTTCTTATAAATCATGCAGTAGTATCCAAAACTGGACATAATAGTGAATTTAGGAGTACATGAGTCAAAAATTGAAGACTAGTTATGCCAAAATATTGCACCAACCGATGAAATGATAGACACATATTAAAATGTGTACACGTAGGAGTAGAAACAAAGGAATGTAACACTGTCTGCCAGGATTAAGTAATATGTTATATGGTGAGTAGTTACTTAACAGATTCCAGTGCGAATAATATACAAAATCCATTTTCCTCAATCGCCTGTGACAGATAACCATATCTTGAGAAGTTTTGTGGCCTAGGATCTGACTCTAGTTAGATCGGACAAATGATCTTTATTGAATGATTGCTGTCGAAATATACATCCAGACCAAAACATGGCACAAGTCCATGAAGTCACTGATATGTGGACTGAGCCATATTGGTAGGTGTAGACTACCTGGTTGGGGTCCGCGAGATGATAGCAACCGATGGTTAGAGGTGTTGAATGACATGACTCAAAATCGTTTGGAATGTCGCAGGTGCATCCACTCTTTGTGCTCTCCCAAATTCTAATCTCCTGAATTATCCTCGTCTCTTTTTTTCTCTTTGCAAATTTATTCCACTGGATTATACTCCTTGAATAACATCTTCAAACCTTAATCTTCCCAATTACTGCTTATACTCTTACTACCTCTACCACTACGGGATTTGAATCGACAACTGCATCTCTGTACTAATGTGGTATAGCAACTCGGACTGATGGACGTACGTCCGAAGTTCTACGTTGTTACTGACTGACTGACTGATGAACATGTAATGATCACCTGTATTCTATTCAGCTTATGTGTAATAAAATTAAGTTTAGTATTTATGTAATTTTTTCATAAATGATTGTATATTCATTCTTAGTTTTTCGTAATAAACGTCTTAGTTTTGATCATTAACAACAGATACTAATTAAAACTAAAGTATCCGAGTTTTCTTACAGTTATCTCCAGGTGAAATAAACTCTTAATTTTTACTTTCGTTGTTCAACACACATATGTGATGGTGAGTAAAACAATAAGAACAGGGGGCGGTATTACATAATACTTACAGTTTTGACTTCTGTATAATTTCGTAAACCATATTCACCTAGTTCTCGACCAACTCCAGAAAACTTATAACCTCCAAAAGGTGCAGCAGCATCGAAAACATCATAACAATTGATCCTGTACAAAGAAATATACAACAGATTCATAAATTAAACATAAATGATGATTACAGATGCTAATCAGCATCATGTGTTAAATTCGCCTATCGGAATTCTGGTAGTGGTTTTTTCTGTCCTGTATTTACTATTCCGATTATGACCTAGCGCTATAGACTTGATCAATCATACGTTATGACCTACATAGTTAACTTTGAGCTAGCCCAAGCAGCACTCTTAATAGTCAGGTATCCCCAAGTTTTTATCTAAACCGTGTCTTGAGTGCGAAGAGAAGTTAGGATCTAGTCTCTACTAATTATAAAGTGGAAATATTAATAATAATCCTGTGTCTAATAGTCTCAGAAGTTATACTTCCGCACTACTCATCTTACTATATATATAAACTATTTAGGTGGAGTTTTATTCTCTGAGCCAGAACTCACCATCCTATGAGAACGAGAACAGAGAGTGATTGGTGTGGAAAAGAAGAATCAGTCAAGTCTGACACAGCTGATTGACATCTTGCAAGTATTTACTGTATGGTCCTCAGATTTTACTAAGATATTCTGTAATTTGGTATCCAAATACATTCGATTGTCACCACTTGTGTTCTCGTTCACTACACTAGTAGCCAGAAAAATGGTGCAATCAACCTGGTTATTTTAGGTTTCCTTTATTTTGAAGTGAATACCTATACACATTATTGATAAATTTACCATTACAAGTACACTAAGATGCAGTACTCCCAAAAAGAATGTTACATAACCTGTAGAAAACTAACATTCTTCCATCTATTATTCAAGCAGTTTATTTATTTAAACACACAAACATTGGTACAAGAAGGCATCAAATAGACATGCGCTACGTAGATCATTCGATTTATGTGAGGGATGGGATACTGCCCGGGTGCCCAGACCGAAGCAGGCGGTTTTCTTAGGGGGCTACACTTAGAGCCTTTGACCTAAAGGTCTAACCCACAAGGCAGTGGAGCATCGTGAGGAGATGCATTCCCATGGTAGCCGGTGACCAAGATTGTTCCATACGCCATATGTTCCCTCAGGGTACTGGAGCCCATGTGCAACATTGGTTTGGAATCCGATTAAAGCGCCGGACATTCGCTTTTCGTCCTCTCAATTTCGTAAACAACACCCCCGCCACGAGAAGGCAGTGAGTAGGACTTCCTTGGCAGAGGCTGTATACGCGTGGCCGCGTGAGAGCATTTCGAGAGGGAGGGAGGGCCCACCCCATTCTCGGCCATACCAGGGCGTTTGGGGGCATTAAGGCAATACTCACATCTCAAATGTGCTTAAAAGTAATTGAAGTAAGAGAACTAATATAGTACCGTTATTGATCTATACTTGTTTGCATAATGATGATCAACTTTTGTATAACTCTTGTTTGCTACGCCTGAATCATCAGATAATAAACAATTAAGCAATCTCGCCATACAATAATCTGACAATGATAAACATTCAAGCAATGACAGTAAATAAATTCAAACTTGTGTATGGTTTACCTTAATGTCTGACATTTTGGTGTGGAAATGACAAGAATTAGAATTACGATAGAAGTCATTACACAATGAATCTCATAAAGTGTAACGACTGATCATTTTATGTTTAAACACATAAACATTGGTACAAGGAGGCATCAAATAGTTATGCGTGACATAAATCATTCGATTTATGTGAGGGCTGGGATGCTGCCTGGATGCTCATTTTATTGTATATTCATATAAAATAGAAGTACAATGATATTTAAATTAGTTTGACAATAACTACAATCAAGCTACCTCTACACTGACTGATTTGAATTAATCTGTAGAAAATTTTAGAAGTAAATACATCGAAATTAGCACTGATAGAAAAATAACCATAGAGTTCGAGATGTGAATATTCATTTATTTGTGTTGCAGAAATTATTAATGAGTTGTTCCAGTAAAAACTAATCTCCTTACAGATGGACAGTGTACAATGCTTACTAGTGTAGCAGATGGTTGGAAGAAAGTTAGGGGCGGCCAAACCAAAACGTGGCATCAGTGCTTGAAGTCACTAACTTTTAGTCTGAGCCATGTTGGGAGATGCAGACTACTTGGTTGGGGTCCACGTGACTATCGTAACCAATGTTTGGAGACTGTAGGTGACATGGCTCAGAATCGATCACAATGGTATCGGTCTATACACTCTCTGTCTTCCCTTAAACTAAGAGATTAAAATCGCTTTATATCTTTCTTTCTACGAACTAATTCTTTCTTCTTACACTATATCCTTATTGCAATCTTTCTTTTATATATTACCACCACTGAATTAACCACTTCTATGAATCCGGTGTTCATCTCACTGTGCTAATGAGGTATGGCGACTTGCACCGATGCACATACGTGCCTGGTACTACGTTGTAGCGGAGTGACTGACTGGACAATGTACACAAAGTAGTTCCTAGATTATAACTAATACTATGCTATATATAGCCCTAGGTGTTAGTCTGAATTGATCAACGAAATCCGAATTCATATCTTTCACTGAACTCTACTTGAAATCATCCGACACTGAAATACAACAAATGTATCGTTATAAATAATATACATTAGTGTAAAATGTAATGAGTTCCAACGGTGAGACTATAATATATGGACACACCGATGATATTTAAAATAGTTAGTCCTAGATTTTGACCTGGAAACTACTCATCTATACGGTTAAACAGAATTTCAGCATTCTAACTGATACTGGTTCATAATGAAAACTCTAACTCATATTCCTAACCTTAACCTTTGATCCTTAGCTTTTAATCCTAGTAAGTAGGTGAATTTTCTCAAAGTTAATACAGTGTCCCTTAGACGTTGTCCACAATTTGTAGTTTTATCATTTCAATTATTAATAAAAACTTAGAATTAACATTACCAAACAGTGCCAGCCTGTAAATGTTGCATAACATGCATAGCTTTTTCTAAATTATTAGTGAATATACCAGCTGCAAGACCATATTGTGTATGATTTGCTCTATGTATCAATTCATCTAATGATCGAAATTTCATAATTTGCATTACAGGTCCAAATATCTACAACAACAGAAAGAAAGGACAGAAATCAATATCATTAGCTACTGTTATACATGAATAGAATTTGTATTGTAGTGTGCGCAACTGATATAGACAGATATAAGTAGTATGTATCATCAATCGAAAGCGAAATACATGGACGCAGAAGGTTAAGAAGATCGAAGAGAAGAGAACGAGAACAGAGAGTGATTGGTGTGGAAAAGAAGAATCAGTCAAGTCTGACATAGCTGATTGACATTTTGCAAGTACTTACTGTATGGTCCTCAGATTTTACTAAGATATTCTGTAATTTTGTATCCAAATACATTCGATTGTCACCACTTGTGTTCTCGTTCACTACAGTATTAGTACTAATTCTTAGGATTGCCCCAGTAACAATTATTATTATTGTGTTATTTTCACCCCTGTTATTATCATAAATTTTGTCTAGATATTATTGGTTACCTTGTACTAAACACAAGGTAATGTTGACTCATGTAGTTTCTCAGAATATTAAAGGTCTCTCTTCCGAAATTCCAGTTTTCTGTTTTATTTAATTAATTCAACAAAAGAAAAAGTGAAAGCATCTCGAACTTCACAATATATCGTTCGCAGGATGATTTTAAAAACAGAATGTTTATAGGAAGACAAAGGGCGAACACATCTGAGTCATTGTGCTAACCTGTCATAGCTCCAGAAAACAAAGGATGACTAACTCTAAACCATGTCACCTAAAATCTCTTAACCGTTGTTAACCACGAACCCTAGTAGTCTGCACCCAACAACATGGCTTAATCCAAATGTCAATGAATTCATGAACTTACATCACGTCTTGGTTTGGAAGTCGCTAGCTTTCCTCCAACCTATTTTCACACCAATGAACATAGCGCATTGAGGTAGGTGGTGGTTAGGTATACGTCAAACATGTCCCAACTACCACAGTCGATGAGGATACACAACCTTGTCAACCGATTTGCTATATTTACCCAGTACCTTGATTTCAACCTCAGCATTGCTAACTCGACGTTTCAACAAATGCAATAAGTGTTTTGGAGGTAATTATGTTCAAACACTAGAAGCCTATGAATATCCTCTATTCTAAAAGCTACATTCCACAACCACAAATTAAAACAAATTGAACTGCTGTTCAGTATGCTCATTCTTTAGTTGATAGATAAACTTATCTATTCGGTCATATTGTATCAATAGTTTTAATGTTTCTCTGTGTTGAAAATTAACTGGTCTTGCTGGATCCATATTTCGAGAACAACTCAACAATATCCACCATGTATAGCACATACAAGTTGAAACAAACTATAAATAATAGAATAACTTACTTCCTCACGAGCAATGCGCATTTCATCTTGAACATCAGCAAAAACTGTAGGACGAATGAAATAACCATCTGATTCAAACCGTTTGCCACCGGCACATAATTTGGCACCTTCCTTTATACCAGATTCAATGTATGACATAACTGTTTGATATTGGTGTTCATCAACTTGTGGACCCTGAATAACAAATAACCGTATTTTAGTATGAAACCAAAATGATATAACACTAACTTTAAAATATATTCACCAACTGTTAGAGATTTGAGCATTGACCAAAGGTTTAAAACCATAAGCAAGTGAATTCACTTGGTATTGTTTTGCTTGTATCTTCCCATTGACGTTTAAGACTGCAATTAATCAGTCTGTTATTGGCATATGTGCCTCGATATTGCCTTAATTTAAAAGCTTTTATAAGCCAAGATGGATAGTGACCAGCAGTGGATAGCGCGATGGCGTTTGAAGCGAATGGTACTGGGTTCGAGTCCCAGGTGAGCATCAACTCTGATATGCAGGTACATCCAGCTGACGAGTCACAAATAGAACGAAATGCGCGTCCTGCACTCCACTGCTAGCCACTATCCGTCTTTGCCAATATGAGCAAGTGGTTGAAAAAAAAACAAATGGTAGAGTATAGCCAAACACCTTAACGGTTGTTACAAAGATCATGTGAAAATTCAAGGAAACCAATTCTTCGTTAAGAATTTAATATAAACGTCACTTCATAAGTTTATAGGTAGCATATTGATGTTTACACTAGATGGTACGAGATTGAACCCACCAAACAAATACCACTTTAATTATAGTCAACAAATGGGGTGTGGATCTATTATTTGTCACCATCTACACCATGAGACTCCATCTCGTGAAGTTGCTTCAATGTCTTGTGGATTAGATCTCTAGGTCAAAAGGGTGGGGATTGGCTCTCTAATGAAGCGATCTGTTTTGATTAGGGCGATTGAACAGTATCCCGTCCTTCACAAAAATCCGGTGTGACGCATATATATATTGGTCCCGCCCCCCTCTTTACCAATGTTAACGTGTTTATAATAAATGAATTAATTAATCATCATATTTAGAAAATATCCGATCCTTTTAGCGTAACCAAAAACCATATACAGATCAAATGAATATTTATATAATGAACATTACATAATCATGTATTTAAATTACAATTTCACTAGGAAATAATAATTAAATGTTTAAACAGCCTTAAATATTACTCACTTGTGTTGTGTTTAAATCAAAAGGATTACCAATTACACGCTTTTTAGCCTCTTCACTACTATATTCAACAAATTTATCATAAACTGATTCTTCGACAAATATACGTGAACTTGCACAACAACATTGGCCTTGATTGAAAAATAAACCAAAATGTGATGTGGCTATGGCTCGATCAACTGAAATTTAAAAAGAATAGTAATGTAAAATGAATAAAATAGGTTATGATAGAGTGAAATAATCTTTGAAAATAAAATAGACTTTTATTTAGAATAGATAAGTAGTGGCTAACAATGGAATCCAGGGACTTATTAATTGCATTCACCGGCTATATCCCAGTGTTGACGTTCAACTATTCGGACTCGAATCTTGTATCTCACTTGAAACGTTAAATACATTCTTCATTGAGGTATTGAATCTAGAATAGCCACTAACCTATCCAGTGAGTATGTCATATACATCATTAGCAGCTCGTGTTTGAATTTTTCCAGAGTGAATACCAACAATGAAATGTAGATATGTTTGAGGTGGCCCGTGAATCTGACTCCATTTATGAGTGTACGAATGTTTGCTATCACCTTTTCTCGTATATCATCGTCGACTTGAATCGCGTTAGTCAATAACGGAATTAAATAAGTCGAATAACGAGAATTGATTTGTGAATACATATATTTTGTACATGAAGCGAATGGAACATAGCAAAGCAAAATCACACGTATGGAAGATAGATGGCTAGGAAGCCAACTCCATTTCAAGCCAGGCATTACTCAATATTATAGTCAGACAAAATAAAGCTACAGACATGTGATTAATGCGATAAGAAGGGAAGGCACATAAACGCTCATATAAAAACAGTCAAGACTGACAAGCGAATAATTGACAAGGTCAAAATATGGCTCAAGTAAAATGAATAAAATAGGATGTCCGGAAGTTAGAATAAGGTATATGGGCTTGCCATAATAACTGACACTACATATTCAGATAACGAGTACCAAACAAGATGAGACCAGTATCCAGGATTCCGTTGTTACTCACAACCAATTTATTCTCAATAAATTTCAATATAATAGTTATGTTGCAGTAATCTGCATGGGATGTGCATATCCAAACAAAGACTGGTCAAAATTCAATCAAGATATAATCCAAATCTACACTAAAAATGATTTTAAAAAATGGGATAATTCAATCCCTTACTAGTAATGATATGAACTTTTGTATGATGGAAACATTCATACAATTGTCAATTATTCATCCATTATACTATAGTAATCACAGACTGTCCATTTTTAAGTCCTACTAACCGATAAATTTATATTTGCCTGAAATTACTGGATTGATATGTATTGAGAATTGGTCGTTGCCCCTGAGTTTATCGCTTTGACTGACTTTTTTTCTTAACTTTAAGCTACTTGTTATTTGTCGTAGAACCATTGATTATTTACATGTATATAAACGTCCCGAGAACTCAAAACTTCATACAATTGTTTGATGCGTTATTCTAATGAATCTGATACCTGCATTTTGGATTGAACTCTTCCTGCCGATACAGAGGAATTACCCACATAATTTTAAAAGTTTTGGATATGCCTTCCCTTTCTGTAATACAATTTACTACAGTGATATATAAACCTGAAGTCTAACGAAATTGAGATCGACTTCATCAATTTCACCTTTTGGACACATTTTTGTTTAATTAATGACAGCAGTTTTCGTCCTATGAAGGCAAAAATAGAGTACATGTATGTGTAATGTTGACAAGCTTCGAATTAGGATGAAAAACCGGTTCAAAACTTTTCAGGTTTTTTTTATTTGGACCGATAATGAGGAATCATCTTTGACTAGAAAATAATAGTACAATCAGCACGGATACAACTGTACAAATTAAATTATTTCAATTCAGTGGGAAAGATGATCTACAACTACAAAGGTTAAAAAAACTGATTTACAATACAACTTACAATCACCATCACTGAAAATAATTAATGGACTCTTTCCGCCAAGTTCTAAAGTAATTCGTTTCACACCATGTTTATAAGCATTCTGACCAATCATTTGTCCTACAGCTGTTGAACCAGTAAACGCAATTTTATCAACATCAGGATGAACGACTAGGGCGTTACCAGCAGTTTCACCAAATCTGATCGAAATTGTTGAGAAATAAACAGGTAAAAAGTGGATAGTGAAATGAGAGAAATACGCTTGAACACATTAACACTGGTAAAAAGGGGAATCAAGATATGTATGCGTCACATAGGATACGTATGACGGATGGCACACTTTTCAGTCACCGTAATCAAAACAGATTCCTTTCTTAGAGGGCCACTCCCCACCCTTGTGACCTAGAGATCTAATCCACAAGACACTGAAGCAACTTCACGAGATGCGGTCTCATGGTAGATGGTGATAAATAATAGATTTATATGCCGTTTGTTCCCTTAGGAACCATGAGCTCATTTGTACCACTGGTTTGGAATCAGGGTTTTCCAAATCCTCCATGTCGATATTTTGTACACACCAATGCGCTTTAAGCCTCCGTTGAAGATTTCGTTTTCATCTTCCGAATTTCGTGAACAACAAGCCCGATGTGAGCAGTCAGTGGCTATAAACCCATGAGTTCATAGGAGTATTTCGAGAGGGGGAACAGATTCTCCGTTCTGTAGCGTACCAGGACATTTGGGCGAAATTATTCATTTCATGTTTTTTTCGGTTGTCTAGTATATCTATTCTCTTCAGCCAGTAATAAAAGGATGTAAGAAAATTGTTTAGTTGTCAAGTGTATAATTATCATGTGAGTAGTTATTTTCAACTAAAACCTATAAGTCATCATAAGTGACCCGCGGTTTGTCTACCTGATTAATCTACTTGAAGACAAGCTCAATTCAAATATACTTTATCCAATACGATTTGATGTTGCGACTTATTTATTACTACACTGGAGGTAAACGCATTCGTTCAGGTGTTTAAGTCAATTATTTGTACGAAGTCGAGCTAGGACAAAATTCGTTAACAAGGATCGAACAAAACGATGCCAAGCGAGCTACAAAAATTATTCTCTCGAACCCTATTGATCAACCACTTATTGTACAAATGACATTATTCGAATAAATCTGTCTACGAGTGACTGAATTGTTGAAACTACCATCATCATAAACATTGTTTATGGGTACTCTATTTAGTGATTGGATTGTATATTAAATAAAACTTGGTCAAAAGTCCACCCACTTTAGTTTGAGTAGTCGGGCATTATCACTAACCTTTACATAAACTGTAGTTTAAAACAAGATAGATAAACCCAAACTCTGTAAACGAGTTATACTCTTGACAGAAAATAGCATTAGACCTGCAAACTCGTGAATATCACGTACGTAAAAGAAATTAGGTAAAACCTTAGAAAACCAGTACAATCCATGTAACAGTGATAAGAAAATGAATGATTCAACTTAGAAACTTAAAATAGTTTCTACAATAACCAGATTTTAGGCATGTAGAATCCGCATAAACATACAATTTATAAGAAAAAGAATCAAACTCAATTTAAGGTGAATGTAAGGTTGAATTGCAAAACATTTTTCTCATACTATTTTATGACGTGGCATCAGTGCTTGAAGTCACTAACTTTTAGTCTGAGCCATGTTGGGAGATTCAGACTACTTGGTTGGGGTCCACGTGACTATCGTAACAAATGTTTGGAGACTGTAGGTGACATGGCTCAGAATTGATCACAATGGCATCGGTGTATACACTCTCTGTCTTCCCTTAAACTAAGAGATTAAAATCGCTTCATATCTTTCTTTCTACGAACTAATTCTTTCTCCCTGTACTATATCCTCATATACAATCTTTCTTTTATATATTATCACAACTGAATTAACTAATTTTATGAATCCAGTGTCCATCTTGTTGTGTTAATGAGGTATGACAACTTCGACCGATGCATATATGTGCGTGGTCCTACACTGTAGCTGAATGACTGACTATTTTATGAACTTGCAACACATTTTCACTATGATTTGTGTTCAGCTAAAATTATCAATCCACAAATTCTAATCATTGCAATCGGTATATTTACTTGACGGAGCCAAATGCAATACTATTCTACTGGGGTCTAGATTAACATAGCTTCTACAAGGAAACTTGATTTATTAATCTAGTTAGTAGATTAGGGGAGAAGAGAATATAAGTAGTCTTGTCCCATCTACAGAAATTCGAGTTCGGTAGTAGTAGCTTAGCGCACGAACACTTCACGAATGTTCACGAAACTCAAATACAAAAGTGAAAACATCAATGAGGCGATCGTGCAACGTAAAATTACGTTAGTTATAATAGTTCAATTCCCAGATACAGAGTCTTGGATGTCCAACGTGACTGAGTCTCATACTAGGATGAGACAGATATCCAGTGCTTTTACGCTTTCAATGATAGTCTAGCTATAATCACTTCACGTTTTAAACTGTAAAAATAATCATTATTATATAACTAAATAAACTCGAATGGATCTTCTGTGTTCCTTATCAATACAACTTTCTTAAAGGACTTTCGTTATAGAGTAGTCGTGGTTAAAAGGTAAAGAAGCTGTCATATCCTGAATTGAAGTGTCATTAGAGTAATCGTTGTTAGCGAAAACCATATCACACTATGAAAGTGTGTTTGCCAGTAGTATCGATTTTCAGCATTGTCTGTTTAAGATTATTATTTCTCGATATACTGGTAGTCTTGGTCATCTCAACCAACTTAACTTACACAAATAAAATTAGCAACTGATGAATCGAACCCAAATCTAATATATACGCATAAGCATACAATCGATCAATCTTCGTGGCTGCTTTACTTATCTTTCTGATGATTACATACGCCATTAGAATACTTTCAAGGAGCCGATAAGTGATTGTATGTAACTTGATTCTCTTTACCCTCAATTATAAATTATTATACACACAATTCGAAGTGGACATGATGGTAAACACTTTGAAGAAAGTTCTTATCAGATAATGATGTTACACAGATCGAACTACTGGACGAAAATATACATGTAAACCAATTTTACTGAAGAAGAATTATCACCATAGAACTCTTTGCAACGAATGAAATCTCAGTTACGCCGTACTGAATAATGTCAACTAGAGTGAAATGTAGATTCAAAGTTTTCTGATCCCCAAAAATAAACTGTCCATTTTTACAGTAATTACATCACACTAAAAACTCTTAATTCAAGTCCATACGAAGTTTATACATTCTCTATAGTACCTAAATCAATTACTTACTGAGTTTTGAGACGACCTTTAAATAAAACCTATCAATCTTTGGAAAATTGAATTCGCAGCTCATTTGAATGCTTTTGATAATGTTATGTTGTCTGAGTCAAATGGTTTGATTTCAAGGCGTTTCGTGTCGCTCTGAATAATATCGTCGACGTCTATCTCATAAAGGAGTGAACGACTATTCTACAAGTGTCCAATTGGTTTGCTTTGATAACCTTGTTTGTGACTAGATATCCTCATAAGTTTTGTTGCCTTCAACTATTCTTGAGTATATAATGACCAAATAAGTTGAAATTCAACCGAAAAAACAATCAACATGAATGCACGAACAAGTAAAAGCAACAAAATCTACGGAGATATCCAATCACAATTAAAGCCATCGGAACGAACTAATTCAACACCTTTAGAATAGTTGGCAATCTTACTTATATGTGAATCATGCGCTGATGTTGTTCAGAAAGACAATAAAAACTTTGCAATTAAACAACCTGGCTCATAGAACACAACATCGTTAAAGTCTACCAACCTATTTACAGAAACATCTTTAATTAGAAAAAAAAAGCATTGAAAAAATTGGGTGAGTCAATTTAAAAATTTATTTACCCTGGAACAATGTTCACTACACCAGGTGGGAATCCGGCTTCTTTGATTAATTCAGCTACCCAATTCGCAGACAACGGGGTTTGTTCTGCTGTCTTCATTACCACTGTATTTCCCATTGCTAATGCTGGACCGAGCTTCCATGCCTGCATAAGAAGTGGAAAATTCCACGGTATAATTTGTCCACAAACGCCAACTGGTTCATGAAGAGTGTAACACATATAGTTTCCATTGACAGGTATAGTTTTCCCATGATATTTGTCTGCCCAGCCAGCATAATACCTATAAAAAAATGTTCATTATTAAGTTGTAAAAACAATGAAGTTTGATATAACCAACTGTACAAAGCCTTAAAAAGTCCATTTTTACCCCGTCCATATGCCATTTGGTGTGTGCCATTATTTTTATCTTCTTAAGTCATAATACTTCAATAAAACATGTAAACAAAACCGATATTTACAAGCACAAGATTGACTAGAGTAGAGATCATGCTACTACAATTATGATAAAATATCGTATCTGGTCTTAACATAAAAGAATCTATTATAGCAACCATTTCTAGTTTGATTTAAAACTGAATACTGGAACCTTCTTAAATATAAGTGAATAAAACATGAACTATGAGAATAAGAACTTGAAATCAATTGTCGTATCGTAACACTTCGTTCTGTATTTTAGCGAGCATTTTTGTCAGCAGCTTGAAATATGTTAGTACATCCATTCAAATGAAAGCTTAATGTTAATAAATAATTTCTTCTGTCTTACAAACAGGAAAAAAAGTTCACAAAGAATGGCAATCTTGTCATTCCCTGAATATGTTTTAAATATTTAGTCCAACTGAGTTATTAAATACAGTTATGTGTATCTACACTATGATTTGAGAACGTGCTAGAAGTATCATCTGAGAAAGATACAATTGGCAGATAGCATATAGCACTTTGATGATCAATCACAACACATAACACTGAACTCATCATTAAAATTACTTTATATTATGATTAATTTCATTTTATCTGAAAATTATATTTGAAATAATCTCAGAGATTAAAATTTACAATAATTCCAATGTTTCGTCCAACAAACTTATCTGAGCTTCTTCAGGGTAATAATCAAAATCATCAAAGAAAAAAATATATAATGCTTAACAATCAAATCAAATCTTCACTGTGCTAATCCGATCATATCTAGATGTTGACCTTAGTAAATAGGACAACATAAGTCAGTTATATGCGAATCATATGAAAAGATCACAGTGTGAAAATAAATGAATGGATGATTGTGTGTGTGTGTGTATGGGATTAAAAACTATATGGAGTTCAAGAATAATATCGACATCATCCATATGGAAGAGGATGAAATGATGACAAATTTTGATGTATCTTCCTTATTTACTACCGTACCAGTTAATAGAGCATTGGATAATATTGTTGTTTAGAATTTAACTCAGATTCAAATTCATGATGCCCGTTAGATCCAACCAAATTTATTAAGTGCTTGGAATTGTGTTTACGATCCACCTTATTAAGACTTCGAGGAGAACTTTACAAACAAAACGAAGGTGCAGCAATGAGTTCACTAGTTTCTCCGATTGTAGCGAATTTACTTATGCATTTCCTAGAAACCAGTGCAATTGTAGTGAACAAGAACACGAGTGGGGACAATAGAATGTACTTGACACGAAATTACAGAGCATCTTAATAAAATCTGAGAATCACATAGTAAATCGTTAATTTGCAAAATATCAATACATCGTCTCAAACTTCACTGTTCTTTTTGTAAATATCAATTCATGGTCTCAGATTCCACTGTTCATGTATTTTCATGCCAACTGCGTTCCGTTTCCGTTCTTTCCTTGTCGATCTTCTGCTAAAATACATTTTATGCCTGAACACCGTTATATACTACTTATACAGATATAAATAATCCACACCACACGATCACAAGATGTGTTTGTCCACCAAAAGTTTGGTTACGGCATGTAGATAACATTATTATTATTATTATTAAACTAAATAGTTTAGAAGAATTGTTTGAAAATGTAAACAGCATTTCAAATAGCATCAACCTTACAATGCAAATAGAGTCCAATGACTATAAACTAGCGTTTCTCGATTGTTTGGTTGAACGAAGACATAATAATAATAAGTTGAAAATAAATGTATTCAGAAAATTAACACATTCTGAGAGATACTTAGAATACGGTTCGGCTCATGCGTATTGTACGAAAGTCACAGTTGTAAAAAGTTTAATTACCGGGAGTATTAATCTCATTACACATAAGGAAGACCAACAGGCTGAATTTAATGGAGCTTTGTCTACGCTTAGGGATAACAATTAATCCAAAGAGTTTTTAGAGAAGATTATTACAAGTGAAAGAAAAACTAAACTAGACTGTATACCGAAAGATTGGAAGTCCACCGTGGTCATCTCATACCGTAGTGAAACATCGGAAGAAATCAAGAGGATTCTATGTGAGCATGATATAAGTGCATTTTCGGGCTTGTGACACCATAAGATCAATATTAGTGAAGGTTGAGGATAGATTTCAAAAGCAAGAACAACAGAATGTTTTCCATGAGATCGACTGTCATGCAGCGTATATGAGAGAAACTGCAAGACAATTGAATGTGAAGTCGAAGGAACATAAAAAGTGTTTCAAAAATGCTCCCAAATCCTTGACTGATCAAAAGAAACTTGAAAATAGGTCGGCGATAGCGTTACATATGTTCGAAACAGGATACAAGATTAATTTTGAAGGGACCAAAATACTTCAGAAAGGTTTTAACACTCATAAAGAAACATTGACAGCAGAAGCGCTGTATAAGTGGGCACATAAGAACGAAAAGGATGATATTCAACTAGCAACTACTTTGCAAATATTCTTTAACAAGTAATTGGACCCTTTCTCTACATCAAAACTTGTCATCATTTCATCCTCTTCCATATGGATGATGTCGATATTATTCTTGAACTCCATATAGTTTTTAATCCCATACACACACACACACAATCATCCATTCATTTATTTTCACACTGTGATCTTTTCATATGATTCGCATATAACTGACTTATGTTGTCCTATTTACCAAGGTCAACATCTAAATATGATCGGATTAGCACAGTGAAGATTTGATTTGATTGTTAAGCATTATATATTTTTTTCTTTGATGATTTTGATTATTACCCTGAAGAAGCTCAGATAAGTTTGTTGGACGAAACATTGGAATTATTGTAAATTTTAATCTCTGAGATTATTTCAAATATAATTTTCAGATATAATGAGTTGTCTGTATTTGTTGCCCAATCGATGTCAAACTATTCATTCTAATATTGACGAACATTTGTATAAATTATTTGATTTTATTACACCGAGTATCACTATTACATCAGAAGTTAAATGCACGTATAAAGTGGCTTAATTTTATACCGACAAAATTAGACAAGACCACTAGATCAATGTAACCTTGTCTCTAAACAACTTAACTAATAAAGAATTGAAAAGTATCATCATACCAATGACTAACTGACTGACTGACTATAATCACAGCCTCCAAATGCCCTGGTACGACCGAGAGTGGGGAGAGTCAGCTCTCCCTCTCGAAATACTCTCACATGGCCACGCGTATATAGCCTCTTCCAGGGAAGTCCTACTCACTGCCTTCTCGTGGCGGGGGTGTTGTTTACGAAAATGGGAGGACGAAAAGTGAATGTCCGGCGCTTTAACCGGGTTGGTGGACATGGAGAGTTCACCTAGGGGAGTTGGGAGACCCTCATTCCAAACCAATGGTGCACATGGGCTCCAGTGTCCTGCGGGAACAAATGGCGTATGAACCAATCGTTGGTCACCGGCTTCCATGGGACTGAATCTCCTTACGTTGCTCCACTGCCTTGTGGATCAGACCTTCATGTCGAAGGCTACGGGTGTGGCTCCCTAAGAAAACCAACTGCTTCGGTTTGGGCACCCGTGCAGTATCACAGCCCTCACATATATCAAATGAGTTTTGTGTGGCGCATATCTATTTTTTGCCTCCTTGTACCAATATCTATGTGTTAAAATAAATAAATAAATACAGAAATACTTTAGAAAATGCTTAAGTTCATAGTTTTTTTTACAATTAACTAACGTGAATAGAAAAAAAACTATCAGTGAAATCCTTCCATTATTTTGAACCTACACTAGCTAACTAACTAATGATAATACTAATAACAGTAATAATAGTGATATTTATAGGTTTAATGTAATGCACAATTCTTAGCAGACTTACACAAGAACTATAAACAATTGGTAGACTAAATGATTTAGGAATTCATTATAATTATAAAATTTAAAGCCCTACAAAAACAGTGACGGAAATAATAAAACTTGAATACTGTGTTGGTTGTTGTTGGTATAGTTGTGACGACCTTACAAAAATACATAGAAGTTTATGTACTAAATTATAACTGTAATAAATAGAATGAGATTCAAACTCGTAATCGGGTGATTGAATTCCAAGTAACGCGAGTAAAAAAAAACAGAGACTATTAGATAATATTTTCTAGTAGATAGTAATGGGTTGTATCATTGTTACAAAGGATTTGAAGGATCCCATCGTTGATAATCTCGATTGATTTTCGACCAGTCGTTATTTTATAACAAGTCACTTTAGAATAGTCAGATATATGCAGCATAGAATTTAACACGTGTACATCATTTTAAGTTACCATACCACATTAACACACCTAAATGACATTGTCAGAGAGAATCCCAGAGTAGTAGATGTAGTAATGTTATTAGCGGAAATACGAAAGACATAGAGGCATAGAGGATATTATTCAGGAAGGAAATATGAACTGCTGGAATAAAAAGGTATATAAAGTAGTTTAGAAACGTAAAACTTGAAAGAAAACAAAGAGCGAATGCACCTGCACCACTGTAGCTAACAATGAAATCCAGGACGTATGTTCTATCCTGTATAGAACGTTTCCCTGCTAGAACGATCGGTAAAGAATATTAAGAATGGAATAAATCGAACCTTTCCTAATCATGATATGAACATCATACTCTTTGAACAAGTTACCGACTCTCTGAACTTAGTAGCTCAATGGAATAACGTGTTAGGCTTTTTAAGCGAAAGGCGATGGGTCCGAGCACTAGCATGAACACCAATATTGAGATGAGGTAAATACATCCTACCGGTTAGTTCAAAATAGGAAGAAACGACACGCTATCTGAATCCCACTGCTAGCCATAATTTATCTATTTTACTGATGGGTTGTATATTTTTTCACTTAGTAAACAAATCATAATGAAACACCAGATTAAATGCTAAGTATATACATAAACTCTCCACTATTTTCAGAAAGTATGGAACGATATTTTGTGCTCATAGTAGTGAAATGTCGAGCACACTGAAAATAAAAGGACAATTAAGTGTAAAGGTCCAGATTGACAGACAAAATCATCAACATGCTTTTTGTGGACAGATTACCATACAAATTGCAAACATGAAACGCAAACATACAATAAAATCAACACGATGGAAAGTATTTTAATCACTAACCTGTAGCATTTGATCACTAAATCTAGATCAATATTATATGAATCGGCAAATGGTTTCCCATTATCCAGTGTTTCCAAAGACTAAAACAATAAGGAGATTGGACAGAAATAAACATATGTAATGGATGTTGGTTACATAAATAAAATAAGAAATTAACTAACAATAGAATATGCACATTCAAGTACATTGACCAACGTAGAGGTTTGGTGTCGAAGTTCACTAGTTCACATTTACACACTTTAAAATAACAGGGAAAGAAAAAGAACAGTATTGCTGAGAAAACAAGACTGATTGACTGACAGAAAAACCTGATTGTCTGACCAGGTTTTTCGCATCCAAGAGCTTGCTTATTTTCTTAAGAAATTATTATGATTAGACCATGTGATCTCTTCCTGTATAACCTATCTATCAGTGATTTATTCACTTTGTCAACAACCTAAACAAGCTTAATGAAGTCAAAACACCATATCCAGAACAGAAGGAGAAATAAGTAAACTCAGTAATGTCCAAAACCTGGAAGCTAAAGAATGAACATATCTGCTCCAGTCTGATCAAGTCATGACATTTACGACCTTTAATTATTAATGTCATTTTTACATAGTATGCAATAACGAAATATCTCATTGCACATAGCACATAACACTGAACTGTCTTGTTTATTTATCGATTAACTTTTAGATTATGTGAGTCTTTAAAAAATTAGTAAATAAACTATCAGAAGAAGCATCCAATGAAAAACTATGATATAAATACATTTTCAATTAACCATGGTGCATTTTAGAAATAGTGCTCATTCACCATTAATAAATTTCGTAAGGAAAATCACAAGCAATATATAAATTTTAGTACATTCAGAGATTTGAAGGCTGGGAACAGAAATCAATTTGTTCCAACTCCATTCCAGTGTACACAGTAACTTGAAAAGTTATTGCTAAGTGTACAAACACTTACAGCCAAATAAACTCGGTCACGTTCAATAAGATCAGCCAGTTTCTGAAGTAATACACCACGATGCGATGCATCCATGGTACGCCACTCGGAACCGAATTCGAAGGCTTTACGAGCTGCTTTAACTGCTTTATCTATGTCAACCTGTATGAAGAACGAAACGTAGAGAAGTAAAAGTTCAGTCATTAAAAGCAAAAATATGATCATCACTTTAACATTAACACTAATGCTTATAAATACGTGTTTATAGGTATCAATCGCAAGCTTGTACTTGATAATTTAAAATAAATTGAGTATTGGGTAGAAAGTTAATAATACATATATTCTTGTTATATGTATTTTTTCTATTCATTTAGATATATCAAATATATATTTATTGTAAATACTTGGTTAATTAAGGCTCAGTTAATGAACTTTTTCAATAAGCTAAGAAAATTAAAATAACTTCATCACGGAACAATATTTTTCCAAAATAATACACCAAACAGTTTAGAAATAAAATGTATGCAATAAGTCTTTCTAACACTGCATAAATCAAAAATTTGGGAGATTATAAATCACTTACACCAGAATTGAGAAAAAGCATAATATCAAGATGACTGACTGAAAGCAATTTTATAGCCTGCAAGCAGAAACTGGTCACCATAACAAAAAACCTAAATGTAGTAAATACATAACTAGTACGTCGTTCAATTTTACGCAGTAGCCGTGGCATAAAAAACACTAGGGTTAACAACCGAATCAAAAGCTCAACTCCGGTATAAAGGTTTATATTCAAAGGACTACACAAGAACATACACTAGGGTTAGTGAAGTGCAATGAAATAAATAAAGTGTCACTTCATTACAATAAAAGATTTTTTGTAGTCGCTATCTGTTAAAAACATCAAGTAACACTGACAAGTTAGTAAGCTGAACAACATATCTATCATCTATCTATAGAAATCGAGTTGGTACGCCCGACAGTCCGACGCTTTAGCCAGATTTGTGGATACGGAGGATCCAACTAGGGGAATCGGAAAACCCTGGTCCCAAACCAATGGACACATGGGTTCCAGTATCCTGAGGGAACAAATGGTGTATGAACCAATTATTGGTCACTGGCTATCATGGGACTGCATCTCCTAACGTTGCCTCACTGCCGTGTGGATCAGACCTTTAGGTCGAACCCGGGCAGTATCACAGCCCACATAACAATCAAGTGACTTGAGTGGCACATACGTATTCGGTGCCCCTTTGTTCCAATATTTATGTTCAAATAAATAAATAAATATGAAGGTCGTCATTTCTATAAAAGGACAGTTATAACCGAATGGAATTAGATATCATGCTGAAAGAAATACTTTTTTCATTAACCGAGGATTAGCGACGGGCAGAATGGTTATATATACTATAGATACCGTTTATATGTCATATAACAACATGATTAAAGAAGTGACTATTCGCCAAGATATATACACTCATTAGTTCAAAAAGTTTAAAAATGAAAAATTCTGAAATACTAAAGGTAGACAAGCGTTACCTTATCACCTTCCGAAACTTGACATATTACTTTACCAGTTGCTGGATTTATAGTGTTGAAGGTTTTTCCACTAGACGACTCTACCCACTCATTGTTGATGAAAATCTAATTTAAACTTCAGATTATACTTCATAGATCAAAATATACCGAGTTTCGCTTTATTTCTGGCTTCAAAATAGGCTCAACTGCAGTACCCAAGAATTTACGTATATTCTTAGTAATTGCCTGTGCTCCCAAAAATTTTGACCCGGAATACAGGAAGAACATTTTAAGCTCTCTTCTGTAATACGAATGTTAGAACCTGGAAAAAATAAACTTCATTGTTAGTTAGAACAGTAGCTGGTTATCAGTCATACGTAACATTATCTTAAAAGCTTCCGATAGTTTAAACTACCACAATTGTGAAATAATTTAAATTATTTCAGGTTGTGATACTAGTATCTACAATAATCTGGATGACTGAAATTACTCCGGAGATTACACATTACCCGTACAGGTGAGGTTTAGTAATTTTTGTAGTTGTTCATTTTATATACATTGGTGTGAAGCCCTATCAGATGCCTGGGAGTGACTTCGGAGTAAATCCCTAAGTGGGATCTAAATATGCAGTGGTCTGAGTCTAGCCTTGTGATATATCGTGTGTTGTAAGAGCATGCTGCTCAGCTGAGCAGCGTACGCTTACAAGCGCATATACATGTGAGGGGATTTAAAGAATAGAACAAGATGGAAAGTTAATCAACAACACATTAAGCATTTAGAGATGCACCTACACCCTGCGGTAAAAGCGATAAATCATAATCACTTAGGCATGAGATTAGATATTCGGCCTAATGGCATCACCTGCAGTTAGGGATGAAGGTCAAACACCCGTACAATTATTGGTGCTTTAGCCTCGGTGTTTTATATACCCATCCCGAAGCGGGAAGTTCAAGATGATCAAACTTAAATGTTGTAAAAATCTTCATTGACCATAATTTTTTCACTCATGTTACTTTTCCAGGAGCATAAGCAACCAACCAGGATTCCTCACACAACGCTGTTTTCAGGTCTTATTCTCAGTTCCTCTCAAGTTCTGTTCATTCTTTTGATATCAACTTCCGATTCCCGGGCGCAATGTGTTCTGCCTTTCTTCCTTTTGCCCAGAAAATCCCAACCCAGGCATGTCTCGTGATGTAGTTTGAGGATTTCCAAAAAGTGTGTTTCGTCTACCGATAGCGTCTTTTTCTGATTTTCTCTTCAGCTGGAAGTTGGTTTGTTCTGTCACAATAGGCTATTGTCGATGGTGTCTACCCAACAGATATCTTGCGTAAGCATCTGTTCCTAAATATTTGTACCTTTTTGATGATGATTGTGGTAAATCCCCAAGGTTCACCCATATACAATTTAACTGTCTTGACATTCGTATTGAAAATTTTGTCTTTATTGTTGGTTGGCAGTTGTTTTGAGTTCAAGGTATTATTCAACTGTGGGAATGCTGCCCTTGCTTTGCCAATCCATACCTTTACAGCTGCATCAGATCCTCCTTGTTTATCAATGATGCTACCTGGGTGTGTGAAAGTTCCCGCCTCTACCAGGACTTCTCTATCAAACGCGCCTTGGTTGTTGCTAATTGTGTTGCATTATATGATCTTCCTTTACCCTTTTATATGTTGAAACGAACCACTGCAGAGACTAATTCTACATTAGATGAGTCCATCTAAATTTGATATAGAAGGGCTAGGTCATCTCAAAGGTCTAAATCGTCTAACCTCATACAGGGTGTACATGGATTTCTGTGTTTTCCCCTGACATGTTGAGGTTTCCTTAATCCAGTTAACCACCAGAAAAAAGAGGGATGAAGAGGGTAAGCAGCCTTGTCTGACACTGGTCTTGTCCCGGAACGCGTCTGTCAGATGTCCTGTATGCACGACTTTGCGTTGTAGTCCGTTGTAAGAATTCCATATTACGTTGACAATGGTGTGGGGAAAGGTTTCATAAAGTTTTCCTCTCCACTCAGTCAAATGCTTAGTCATAGCCAAAGAAGTTGATGTATTGTGACGAGTTCCGTTCACGATTCGGTCAGCACTTGATCGATCCTTGAGGTATCCTTCTTGTTGATCTCGAAGCTGAGCGTCTACTGGATCTTTCACTCGGTTCAACAACAGTCTTTTGAAAGCTTCACCTAGTATTGATAGCAGTTTGGTCCCCTCATAGTTCCCACGCTTACCAAGAGCCTCCAGTATCTTGGTAGGATATCCTTTCACACCTTTTGATACGTGTTCTTCTATAGTGGTACTGGATCTCAACAACACGATTCTTGAAGCCGAATGCAGGATAAGCGAAGAACTTTCATGCAAGATTCAAAGCTATAGAGAAGGTCAGAGACGGTATACGCCTGAATACTTAATCGGTATAGCTCAGCCTGACCACTCAGGCGTGGCCATCATGTAACCTACTCCTCTTCATATCAAATATATTATCTTATGCTCAGACGAAGCGTGTCCTTCAGAGGTGTTAAACATAATAGTGTCAACTATCATTACAGGAGAAGTCGGTATAGAAAATGGTGTGATTTCCACTTAAGATCTTATAGATTAGGTAGTCATATCATGACGAATCTACGATTTTGGAATAAGGTCTATTATTATGGTACTAATACCAAATTAGACCATAGTACAACGGTAATGGGTCCGACTAAATTTGAAAGTAGTAACATTTTTTAATGTGATTAAGAAATTTTTCGAGTTGTTCTTTTTTAGACTGTATTTTACTGAGATCACCATCCTATCCTATATATCGGGTACATTTTACCACAGGAAGACAATTTTGACGGACAATTACCAGTTTTTCATACATATCGTGGACTTAGTTTCCTACATCTCTTATATAAGCCCCCAGTAATTGACAATGACGCGTCTTTATCTCTGGATTATACTAATTAAAATATTAACATTTAAGTGATCGTTACTCTCTCATGTAATAAGTGAACACCTTATATTTGAAAAAATTATATACTCATAGTTTTAGATCCTAGTATTAACCCGGTCAATACTTAATAAGAACTATTTGCTCAGATATCCGTCAGTTACAAAACTATCTAGCCAAAATTAATGGTTGATTTAGCCAATTAGCACCCTTCACACATATATGAGGCCTTAATACTGATAAAAATCTTGAACAAATCACCAAAGCTGAATGATTTTAAAGTTTGTGCCTGAAGAAGTGACGAAAAGAGTGGTGTCACCTTACAATGCAGTTTCATACAGTCTCTTTGATCACACACACCAAAATAAGGGGTATTCGCCTTAAAGCATGGGGTATGGTGAATGTCATCTGCCAAGTCATCCACCTTAGAAAAATGTTGGATAGATCGATATGCCTTGTTCTGTTTAAGTTTAGCTGTTATAATGACGTTAAACAATTTATTGATTCGAGCAAAAGCATTAACTCATTAATTCCATACAAGAGCGCAAAAGTCACTCCAGACCTAACGCCCTGTCATCGTCGTGTAAGAAGACGTGAAGCGAAAGGATTACATGATAGTGTTATAGCAAGTAACGTTCTACAGACAGTTTGCAGCACAGTAAATAGTTTAAAGCGCACGAGCAATAAGCATCATGTCACTGCACAACTGGCAGATCACTCTGTAAACCTAGATGAGTCTGCAGATCAGAAAACGTCAGATAAGATACGGATCCTAACTGTGAGCAAAAAGCATAATAACACTTCTATTTTCGGCTATTTGAGCAGTAAAGTACATAAAAGTGAACCATGTGACGACACTAGTTTCCCTAAACGTACTTCACACGATGGCTCAACTGAACTTGAATTAATCTCAAAAAGACAATGAAACTCGACAGTTCTGACAAAAAAGAGTGGAGAGATAAAGTCCACGATACAGAATAGGGAAACACGTAAGGCTGAACCCAACTGTCCTTTGGGTCATCCGACAACAATGAAGAGGTTCTCCTCAATAATGTCACATAACTTGCCGTCAACACCTCTAAGTTTCAAAACTTGTCGTTGGCCTGAGTGTAACGAATCCTTTTATACGCAGACCAATAAAAACTATCAGAGTACCGATCACTCCACTCACTCCATAAAGCCTAAAACCATTAATAAGCATGGTGATAATAGATTTCTCACCCCACAACTGCATTCCTCAGGTTCACAATTGTAATTACTCTCAGTAAGAGAGCGTTCCATACGTTTTAGTACCAACTCACTACACAAAAACGGCTCCCGTATATAATAACAGTCGTGATTACTTCCAGTCAAGTGCAGTAGATCCTTCTCATTTTCACATTAATGCGAATAGCAACAACAGAGGCTACGAATTTAACCATCAAGACTATTTTGCAAATGACAGTACACTTCACAGTTGGCCTACACCAGATTTTTTGGAAGAGAGCCCCTGGTGGCACCTCTCTTGAAGCATATATCCCGATTCATTTCAAACCACATGCAGAACGTTAACTTGCTTACCGCGTAAAGTTTCGATCAGAGAGTACTACCACCCTTTCCTCCTGGGTAAACTCTTCATGCTATTTCACTAGCTCATTTGATATATCCTCCTCTTATTTCGGCTATCAAAATAACGAGTTACTGAAAAACAACCAATCTCTCACTTTAAACACAACCTCGAAGGCCACGACAATTTTAGCTGAAATACTCTCAACCATTTTAAGTTAGTGGGCCATCTGTCTAATATGTGTTTTATCAACACTAGGTAGATTTGTAATAAAAATGGTACTGATACTAATTTATCATAAAAAATACCTCTTTAGATAGTCTTTGTGACGCTGAGTTGGTTTCACTTCCGATCGAGTAATCCTATTACAAGCAAAACTAGACAATTTTCAAAGACGAAACGTGGTCATGACCCTATAAAATCATGAAAATAAAAAAAGGAAAAGTCATTTGTGTAGCATAATACTGTTTTCAGTACTATATTTTAAAACTTCACATGGTCGTATACTTTCAGCTTATTTTAGAACCACTTCCATTTATGCAGTTTTTTATCCATTCATACCATATTTACGCCTGTTTCCTTTGACCTATTGGAATGCTCTTGCTTAAAAAGTGCCTTAATAACAGAACCTTAGACTAAGTAGTCATACCTTTGCTATTTCACCACAATTGACTCAATTTCAATAGACATGAACATTGTATGCTTTGCTTCTCGTTTTTTGTTCTCCTCACCGTATTCGGTCCTCTCAAGATGTGTCACCGACAAAGCATATAGAACTGGTGACTTCGTCTTGTGCCATCATCAATGCTTCAGATGTTTTAGGGGGATATAAAGTTGGAACAGCTTAGGTTGATTGGTTAAGAGTTTACCTCATACAACTAAGCATATGTCAAAACAACAGAGATAAAGTATTCATTCACTTCCTTATTTTGTATAGGTATTATATTTCCTATTATCTTATATTGAATGTTGGAAAGCCTTATGTGTTTGAACAGGTAGTCCAACGCTCCATTGCGACTGCGCAACGGTCTAAATAAAGACCGATTCACTATTAGTCTGGTTTCTTCTATCAAAAGAAACGAGGGTTACCTAAGGGCACGAAGAGGTAACAGTTTATAGAAGCTCTCAAAATTACGTGGACTTACTCCCGGCTGTGGGTTGCATGTCGCGACACAACCTCCATCGAGCACTCCAATTGTCACGCTGACAATAAGAATTCTACTAATACTATTTACATTCATATGTGAGAAGAGTTATCTTCATACTTTTATGATCAATCTACTTTATAAAATATCAAACTAACTGAGTAACCCATCACAGTGAAGACTGCATCATCTGTAA